CACTACTATACCAACCACGCTCCACTACGTTCCAAGAAGCATCCATAGCGACGGCCGTACCCCACCCACTACATCCACTATCTTCAAGACACCACGATATACCTTTCCTCCCACCAAAATTTATAAATTTATTTGAATGCTTTGCTTTTTAGGACCTGTTTTATTCATTTTATAATTTTATATACATTTTATAACAAAGCATTCGGTCACATTTGACCTATATAGTGTGTGTTTGGTTTGTTTACCTGTTTTGTGCATCAATCATAATATCTGTCATATACATATACATTAATAGAAGAGCTGGTATCTGATACCATTTTTAATACAGAACCTTTAAATCACTAGTATATTTACTAGTTTTATATGAATAGGCGGCTGGACCGCAGTATATAATTTTTAATTGTAATGAGGTACAGGGTGGCCCGACAGGGGCCATCCCGTCACCATAGGGACCTGTCGGGTGTCCTTGGCAATGCCTTGGACAAACGAGAGGGCCACTATATAAACAAGGCAGTAGCCAGGAACGTCGGGGTCCTGAAAGGGCTAAATGGCAGGCTAACAAATTTAAAAATTAGGACCCTGTCAAGTGAAATACACCTGAAGGTAAAAAATGTGCTTAAGGCAACACCTCTCGCGTCGGGTAATATTTTTCTTGAGTTCGCGTCAATGGAAGCACTTAACAAGGCACTGTATCTCCCCAAGTTTAAGCTTGGAGGGATAGAGTGCATTATTAAAGGACTACCTCAGGAACGCCTCTATGAGGTAGTCATACACGGCATTCCGCTGGAGGAAGATCTGGCAGAATTCCAACATAAGTTGGAATATGACAGATCTGATGGGGCTTCACTCGTGAGGGTCGACCGTCTCCAGAATAAGCATAGGCAAGATTCTGGGGCGGTTAAGTTGACCTTCGCGGGGGGGTGCCCCATCATTGTGAGCATCGCGGGCGAGGGTACGGATCTATCAGTGCGCGGTCCGCGAGCTCACATTTTCTCCGGCAAAAAGGCGAATGTATTAAAATATAATCAATGCCGTAAAATGAAACTTTATAAGATAAATACTAGGTAGTCTAACTAGACAAAACTTTTTTGATGTATTAGGTTAAGACGCGAACATATAAACAATACGCGAGGGGTAGTTGCCTAAGCTATATACTACAGTATAGTATACTGTATGTTAGTTTGGACAAATATTTTATATTTTAAATTTTTGAGTCAGTGCACAGCCATTGTATAAAGTGTACATAACCTATTTTAAGTGTTTATTTTTAAAAGTGGCCCTAATAAGTGGCCGTGAAACGGTGCTATTACGAAGTTTATTTATTTATTTATTTTGTAATTTTATTGCTATGTAATTTTAATTGAATAATTTCTTAAATAGGCTGTGCACTAGACTATTTTTACCATACAGTCTCATGGTTATTATCAAAATTGGGAGGTGCTGGCTACAGATTACCCATAATGTCAAAAAAGACTCCATATTGTATATATCCCTTTGCCCCCCGCCCCATGTTATTTATTACCTTTCTTTTTTAATCCTGTATATATAAACTAGTATCCTTAATACTAGTAAACGTGAACCCGTGCCCCCATATGGAGCAATACGTTTATCACGGGTTCACTCAAGCATGAGATTTTCTTAAAAATGTTACATAAAGACTATCTCATCACATTATGGGTAACCAAGTTATTATTATTAGCCATATTTGGGACTTAGATTTTTTCTTATTCTTCTATGAATTGTTTAAGTAATAGAAGATTAATTATTATGTGTGATATCTAGATGCATAATAATTTATAGACCATGAGACAGTGATAAATAGATAAGGCCGTTTCCACCACATTTTAATTATCATATTTGTTTTAATTTTGAAATAAAGTTGGTAAAAACACGTATACATTGGATGCAACGGGCACCCGCAAAATTTCTATCCAGTCCGCGCGACAAACTTGTCGAAATAGGTCAACACAAAAACTTGCAGAATTTTCAAGAAAATCGGATTGACCTCCTTATTCAGATAGAAGAAATTTTAGACCAATGAGGACAAAGGAGGCAATCCTCTCTAAACCAATCAAAATTAACTTTATAAAGCGGGTGTTCGGTAGAACTTACAAAATTTAAACAAACTGCTAATTACAAACATGTAATTAATTATATGCATCCCAATGTATACGGTTTATAACATTTAAATAGAAACCAACATAAATAACAGTCAGCCCACAATGAATTGGTCAGAAAACGTTCCTGACATGCCTTCTTCGCAAGTATGCGAACTCTACAATTATAGGTAATATTTTAAAATTTTTTAGTTATACTAAATATTAGATAGACCTGTTATAAAAGACGGTAACTACTATAAACGTCTTGGCCAATTTTAAAATAAGTGCTTTTTAATAATTTAATTTTAGAATTCTTAATCTTAGTATGGGATTGCCCCATCTTCCTCCCATGGCAGAGGTTGTACGTAGAGACTACCCTGTCATGGGGGATATGGTATGCACATAAACACATGTACGGATATAACAATAAGTAATTAAACATCAGCTCCCCCTTTTTAAAAGGTTATAAATGAAGTATATGCTCGCCCATATGGTCTCTTTCCGGTGGCGAGGGTAAACAAACCCAAACACACACACACACCTATTTCGACAAGTTTGTCGCGCGGACTGGATAGAAATTTTGCGGGTGCCCGTTGCATTCCAATGTATACGAGTTTTTACCAACTTTAATTCTAAGTCAAAACAAATATAATAATTAAAATGTGGTGGAAACGGCCTATCTATTTATCACTGTCTCATGGTCTATAAATTATTATGCATCTAGATATCACACATAATAATTAATCTTCTATTACTTGAACAATTCATAGAAGAATTAGAAAAAATCTAAGTCCCAAATATGGCTAATAATAATAACTTGGTTACCCATAATGTGATGAGATAGTCTTTTTGTAACATACAATGTATTTAAGAAAATCTCATGCTTGAGTGAACCCGTGATAAACGTATTGCTCCATATGGGGGCACGGGTTCACGTTTACTAGTATTAAGGATACTAGTTTATATATACAGGATTAAAAAAGAAAGGTAATAAATAACACGGGGCGGGGGGCAAAGGGATATATACAATATGGAGTCTTTTTGACATTATGGGTAATCTGTAGCCAGCACCTCCCAATTTTGAAATAACCATGAGACTGTATGGTAAAAATAGTCTAGTGCACAGCCTCTTTAAGAAATTATTCAATTAAAATTAATACGGCAATAAAATTACAAAATAAATAAATACACTTCTTAATAGCACCGTTTCACGGCCACTTATTAGGGCCACTTTTAAAATAAACACTTAAAATAAGTTTTGTACACTTTATACAATGGCTGTGCACTGACTCAAAAATTTAAAACATAAAAATATATGTCGAAACTTACATACAGTATTCTATACTGTAGTATATAACTTAGGCAACTACCCCTCGCGTATTTTTAATATGTTCGCGTCTTAACCTAATACATCAAAAAAGTTTTGTCTAGTTAGACTACCTTGTATTTATCTTATAAAGTTTCATTTTACGGCATTGATTATATTTTAATACATTCGCCTTTTTGCTGGAGAAAATCCGCTAGAGTGTTCACAAGGTTTTTCTATTTATAGCTCCTGTGACCTACTTTTTCATCCGAGATGACCCATGTTCGAACTCATCCGAGCTTTCACCTAGACAAACATCCTGACCAAGTTTGATGATGATTGGGTCAAAAATGTGACCTCTAGAGTGTTCACAAGGTTTTTTCTATTTTTAGCTCTTGTGACCTAGTTTTTCATCCGAGATGACCCATGTTCGAACTCATCCGAGCTTTCAACTAGATAAGCATCCTGACCAAGTTTGATCATGATTGAGGCAAAAATGTGACCGCTAGAGTGTTCACAAACAATTGTGGACGTACGACGTACGACGTACATTCACCGATCCTAAAAGCTCACCCTGAGCAAGCTCAGGTGAGCTAAAAATTTGACACAGAGCGAATAATTTCCCAATGAGAAAATGTAACTTGGACAAGCTTACACAGCTGACAAATGAAATGGGTCATATCTTTGTAAAGTTATTGTTTCATATAAGGTTTCCCTAAATTATTTAAATTCGTATAAATAAAACGTCACTTCAAGATTCCGCAAGTGTATTTAATATTTTGTTATTGATTGCCATGCAGAGAATTGCAAGTAAACTTCTTCATAAAAACTGTTAAAAACTGTTTGGAATGAATTAAATATTAAGTCATCCAAAAATTATAGCGCCGAAATGAAAGCAAATCATATGGATACAAGCGAACACTTAAACACAAGCAATAATAGTTCGACAAATAACGAATAATTAAACAGCCATAAAACAATAAAATGTGAATTAAGTTATCTTTTATTTGTAGTTTAATGAGATGATAGCTAAGAAAACTACATGTACATCATTCATTTTTTCGCCTTTTCATATTTTTTATACTTTAATAATTGCTTGACTTTTACATTAAAAGATATGCGGAGATGAGATCGACTTTGTTAATTAAAGCCATAAATTTATTTAAGAAAATAATGTGACAAAACACAATTCTAATACAAATCTTATTGACAGTTATTGTGCTGTAAAACACATAAGACAGGTGTCTCAAATATGGTCAAATAATAAACAGTTAACATGCTATCAAGAAACGTAATTTATTTAGTTTCATTTCAGACTTGTAATTGAGTTACTTCCCCTTAATCGTTTGTGTGTACATGTAGTATATTATACATGTTTCTTTCTCATACTAGCAGTTTCACTCGAGGTCTTAGTCTGGTCTTAACAACATCTGTTTAAGTATTCACAAATAAAACAAGTAGATGTTTTGATGCTAAAGCATCAAATTGTTTCCGACGAGAAATTTATAATCTACTGGAAGTCATGCTTTTGTAATGCCTGATACTAGCAGGAATTTGCATATACCTCGTTATCTGTACTGTAATTATACCATGATTTATAGCGCAATAGGGTCAAATAGGGGGTTTATAATTTCTAAATAGTTTCAACATTATTGAAGCTATGATTGTTTTGTATGTTGTTTTTGTATTTTGGTAAAGTCTATACTGGTTGGAGAGATTAATATTATACAAAATCACATTTTTTTGCAATATTTTAATTATCTTTCAGTATTTTATTAAATATTGCACCACCTATACAAAGTTTAGTTGAAAATCTTTACATTAACTTCAAAAAATATGTATGAAAATGGAAACTGGTACATTCTTAAGGTTCCTGAATGAGGTATACAAAACATTTAAGATTAATTTTTTGTTGATATTTAAACAATTTTTCAAAAACCTCCTAAATCAGTGGCCTGTTGTACATCATATAATGCTTATTTATATATTACAATATTATTATATATATTTATATTTATTAATATGTACACAGTGTGCACTTCAAACATCAAAAGCCCCATAATACAACATCATGGTGTCCTAAGATTTAGGATGATAAAATTATTTAAGCTATTAAATGTTGATATAAATAATTAAAAAATAAACAAGATATAAAGAATTAAAAAGAAAAAAATTATAAGACAAGCTACAAGCATGATGGAAAATAATTATTAACAAATTCCTTGTATGGACTGGAATTAAAAGAATTTAAACAGTACAAGATGTTGTGGTTAAAGGACATGGAAAAAATTCAAGCCGATGGCAAGTAAAACAAAGAAATTCGCCGTACCTCTATAAAATTATGGGTCTGTGAAAAGGGACAAGAGATATATGTACATGTATACTCAAAAATGGACTTATCAAACGAACAGAGAAAAAAACTGAAGTAACATTATAAATTCAAAGAATATTGCACACTTAAAACAAACATCATTTATAACAGATATTTTTTCAAATTAAGTTCACAATAAGAAAATGAACCATTTGAACAGCTTGTTACAGAATAAGGACAGTGATAATCCAGTGGATATGCAACAATATTTTATTAGCGACAATATTGTCTTTGGAATAAGGTCAGAGAAAAACTGGTTGTGAAAGGCTCAGATCAACACTTGAAATATGCGTAAATGTTGATCAAACATACAAACTCAGTCAGTCTCCAGCACAAGCTTGCTACAGACTTTACAACATGATGTCATAAATCAACATGATGTCATAAATCAACATGATGTCATAAATCAACATGATGTCATAAATCAACAGCAACACCAAGGATAAGAAAATGGAATAACTGACCAAAATGCACATCAAAGAGACAGAAAGCTGACATTTCAGCAGCCACTGTGACGGATCAACAAAACAACAATTTGAACAAAGAAAAAAAATCCCACTGATGTGGAAATAAATTATATTCCAAGTGACTGTCCGGTGCTAGGGCAAAAATGTATCAAATGTGGACCGTTAAATCCTTTTACTGAACAATGGAAGTGAAATCATGGATTCTTTGTTAAATTCTTTTATCTTCTCCTGATCAAGTTTTTGTAAATGTTTGACTGGCTCTAAAGATATTTTTATAATATTAACTGCAGGGTCACAAATAAATTGCCTCCCAAATAATATATTTATAAAATTTATCCTTAAACACCTTTTGGAACCCTCCAAAGCATCGTTAACAACATACAAAAAGTGACTTATTACCAGCGCTTGGGATATAACTGTCAAATTTAAGCACAGAAACAAATCAATGTGTTCTGAATTCTATGTAGTTGAGAGTTCTGCTACCCTATTGTTTGGCCTAAAAACCTCTGTAGATATCGAGCTATATGCAGCAGAAGCTCTAGACCATGTAGTTTCACACTAGAAGATTGTTTGCCTATAAAGTATTTGTAAACTTAAGAAAACCCTAGGGCAAGACCAATCTTGACCCTAGGGTCTAAATTTGTATAACTATTGTATAGAACTGTACAATGATGATGCTTAAATGCTAAACATCTAAGCTCTAGGTGCCTGTAGTTTCTGAGAAGAATTTTAAATATTTCTTTTTTTATGTCTAGTTTAATAGCATAATTATGCATGGCAGTGGATCCATTCATCTAACTTTTGTAGAAGGACCTTTTATGTGAATTTTGGTAAAAATCAATTACATGTATGTTGTTATGGAATTGTTGCCTTAAGAAATTATATCATGAATGACACTAAACGAACATCACATTATCACTAAAGCACCTTGTGCACAGGTAAGCTTAAAAAACCCACTTGCATCATTTTACAGTGTTATAAATGTACTTGACAAATGGCACAACTGAACAAACCATCTGGTGTTGAAGCAGTAATAATTTCTATCACAGTTGAAGTTGCTTTTACAGCCTTTTGTACAATTAAGTATTGTTAAAGCCTTTTATACAATTAAGGATTGCCACAAAGCAATAAAATTCCATTTGCTTTTCTCTTCAAATCTTTTCACACAGGATTCAAAGCAAAGCACAGATCTTCTTTTAATCACCCCCATCAGAAATGGTTAATTTCTATTCTGAGCTCTTCTATTTATCTCCCTATCACAATAGCTCCATTTTTATACCAGCTCTTCTAATCACCTCCTCTGGCATACAGAAAACTGGATTCACAGGTTTGATTGATTCCTCCCCCATTAATGAAAGTCCTGTTAAACCAAACAATGTGTGGAATGGATCAACCTGAAAGAATATTACACAATCTAATCAGTCTTGAGCACATTTCATTAATCAAAAGTCTATCTAATGACATACAAGCAGTAAGAGGGTTTTTTTCCTGGATATCTTGTAACACTATTTTATACTATAAAGCATGCTGTTAAATTTGTATAGCACTAAACAGGAAAACAACTATCAATACCTACCATATCTCCTGGTCTGTCTGCAAACCCTCCCGTCTCCTCGTCTTGGCATGCCAGCATGAACTTCACCAACTTTTCCTGCAAACAAGTTAACACAATAATTCTAATTTTGCCATTTGTTTCCTGTGAACTTATAAACACAATAATCTGAATTTCTTCTGAACACATGTCAACACAATAATTTGAAATCCTCTTGTGAACTTATTAACACAACAGTCGAAATTTCTCCTGAACACATATTAGCAGAATCTTTTGACTAACAAGCCAAAACAATTAACGCATAACAAATTATTTAATTAACTATTAACAAAATTCCACCTTAAGGACTCAACAAAACAAACGTGCATAAAACAATTTAATAATACCACACACCTTATTGATCCAGTGTAATTTGCCAATTATTTTCAAAGATGACAACACCCACCATGAATAGCATACATCAGGTAACTTTTCTGGTCTACCTATAAAATTCATACAAGATAAAGTCAGTAATATAGTGCTGTTTAAGCAAACTCTATTTTGTTCGTACTATAAATCTTTTTTTTCTTTTTTTTTCATCATTCATGCACAGAGAAGTCCTCTTAAGTTAACAAATAACACATAGCTATAAATGTGTCCAAAGTACATAGATGTGCCAACATCGTATTGCCAGTATGTTCATTTCTATGAATAGACAGTGTGACATATAATTGGAAAAAAACACAACATAAATAAGTTTACCATTTAGTCCACCAGATGGAAGTTGCCTCTCACAAAGCCACCAACCTAACATATCAGCATTTACATTGTGTAACCTTCCAAGTATAGCTAGCATTCCAACACAACAGTAAATCTGAAATACAGAAACAGTATTGGTAACACACAAAATAATGGTAGATAGGAAATACAGAGATTCCTTCCTAACACACTAAAACAAAGAGACAAACAAAGAGACTTATAGATTTATGTATCCCTTTCCCTATATCCATCACACCTTATAAACTTATTGAGCTTGTTCTTTATAAAAATGAAAAAGCTGAATTGTTTACAGATACAAATACATTTTTATAAACATAACCATTTTCAAAGAGAACAATAGAAATCATGTCCATGAAAATCATGTGATATCACAGTTTACTGGACAAAAGGGAAGCTGTGTTCACATAAAACAATGATTATGATCCTTGTCTTTGCTACAAATGAGCTGACCTCACCTGTCCAGAGTGAGATTCCGACCCTGGCCGGCAACCAAACCCTCCATCAAAGTTCATACACGACAAGACAAACTCCACAGCCTTGTCTGTGTTAATCTCATCAAGACGTCCCAAAAGGGCCAGGCAAGCCACTGCGCAAAACGAAAATCTTGTGTCAACTTCACCTGTATGTAAATATAACAATTCATTACAATGCTTTTCAGTAGATAATGAAACTATATTTCCATATTTTCACTGTGACTTATGTTTGAATGAGGATGAAAACAATATATCATAAATGAATGGAAATTATGTCAGAAACACACTCTTGTGTTATTTTTCACTCATGAAGGGCACATGAAAATATTGCCTCTCACTTGTTTACTCTGTAAAATATATCTCAATCTGACATGCAAAACTAACAGTTTATTGTAAATCACAACTTCATTGTCTTGGTCATATGGCAACTTTCCAGGTTTAAAATGTTGAAGGAAGACTTCAGATGCACCTGCAAGTAGATCCACCAACCTTCTGTAAGCTTGCCGAATAGCATCCTCACATAAAAGAATCTAAAGTCCCTGATGGGATTCTAACCCACAGAGATGAGCGGCAAGTTATTTGAAGTCAATGACCATAACCACTCAGTCATAAGATCGCAGCAAAACAAACAGTTATCTTCAACATTTTAAATTATTATTATTATTACTATCTATATTGCAGCCATTGATAGTGATCTAGCAACTCTTTTAATTCAGTTTTATTCTGCCATATTGTTTTTGTGAATAAATGTTTGGTAATTAGGTAATTATATTATTACGAGTTATACAAAATATGCAGGAGTATATAGCCTAAATGAGATCATTATGACTAAAAGCACTATAAATATGCCATAAAGAACAAAAACACAATAATAAATTTTATGTACACATGACATTGTAGTTAACCATCTCTGATGTAGGAAAACCATGTTGTTTGTGCACAATTCTGTTCATCATACGACATCATACGCTAAGTTTTTCAACCAATCATATTTCGATAAATTTATTTGAATTATTATTACTAAAAAGATTTAAAGACTGTTTTCTAATACAAAAAATCCTTGCTTACTTCTTTCCAATTATATAACAAATAACTGGACTCCTAAAGACAAATCTTGATCAGTGATGTTCACAACTAAGTTAAACATTTCATGACAATTTCTAAACAACTCCATTTAACATGGACAACCCTATCAGTATTAAATTCTTACCCCACTTATCTCCGAAAAAACTGCCGTCATCTTGTTGCAAATTTTTTACAAAATCTACAACCTTGTCCACATTAATACAATTCTGGCAATCATACAGTGTCAATATCTGAATGATAAATGATAAAACATTTTAGTTATTTATTAACATCTTTGTCTTTAATAGTAACAGATCAAGGGAGGTAATTCATATGTAACATATTTCTATTCATTTTCATATTAAGACATCACGCAATCACTTGCCACTTTAATAATATTACCCATTACCGTATATTTTTTTTGGGAGCGGAGCTTTACGTTGTTCCAACACAGTAGTGGTCATATGGCGACTTTCCAGCTTTACTGGTAGAGGAAGCGGACACCCCTGAGTAGAACCACCGGTTATTTGTAAGCTAGCTGGATAGCTTCCTTGCATAAATGAGTCCCAAGCCCCTGGCAGGATTTGAACCCACAGTGGAAAGGTGCAAGTTGTTTGAAGTCAACGACCTTAACCACTCAGTCACGGACCATAATAATCTCAGAAACAATTAAGAAGGAAAGCAGTTCCATGTGACTTGGATGTTAGTGTTATTTGTGACTTTTGTTTTAACTACCATGTTGTCATAAGTGACCATAATTCAGAAGAAAATAACATGTTAATATATATAATTTTATAATGGATAGTCAAAAGCAATTATAAAAGCAACTGGCACATGATTTTAATCAACTTTATAGTGCCAACATCTATTTCATCAAAAATATGAATCAACGTTTCATGTAATAAATTACCTGAACGGCACTTAGGGTATAAAGTAAATGAGGATCATGCCCCACACTAGCACCAATACCACCACATTCATGTTGACACTGCTGTACAAATTCTACCACCTCATCTTTATTCATGCGTGAAAGCTGTCCCATCAAATCCATGGCCGTCAATCCCCAGTACATACCACTAACCCGTAGATACTCTGTCATACAGTACTCCTGTAAATATTTGTTTGAACTTTGATGGAAAATCATTAACATTTCACACCATGTTAAATACCTTACATGGACTTGTCCGTCTTTCAATCTGGACAAATACATTTTTCATAGGAATTATTTCATGAATTCTTACTAAATAGCAAACACTGCACACCACCATCAAATGGCACCGATTTGCCTGCTGATCTTGGTTAGCAATGGTTCCATAGGTAACTACCAGTTCCATGGGTAACCACCAGTTCCATGGGTGACCACCGGTTCCATGGGTAACCACCAGTTCCATCGGTAACCACTGGTTCCATGGGTAACCACCAGTTCCATGTGTAACCACCAGTTTCATGGGTAACCACTGGTTCCATGGGTAACCACCGGTTCTATGGGTAACCACCAGTTCCATGGGTGACCACCGGTTGACCGTTCTATGGGTAACCACCAGTTCCATGGGAAACCACTGGTTCCGTGGGTAACCACCAGTTTCATGGGTAACCAACAGTTCCATGTGTAACCACTGGTTTCATGGGTAACCACCAGTTTCATGGGTAAACATTGGTTCCATGGGTAACCACCGGTTCTATGGGTAACCACCAGTTCCATGGGTAACCACCAGTTCCATGGGTAACCACCAGTTCCATGTGTAACCACTTGTACCATGGGTAACCAGCAGTTTCATGGGTAACCACTGGTACCATGGGTAACCACCGGTTCCATGGGTAACCACCGGTTCCATGGGTAACCACTGGTTCCATGGGTAACCACTGGTTCCATGGGTAACCACTGGTACCATGGGTAACCACTTGTACCATGGGTAACCACCGGTTCCATGGGTAACCAGCAGTTCCATGTGTAACCACTTGTACCATGGGTAACCACCGGTTCCATGTGTAACCACTTGTACCATGGGTAACCACCGGTTTCATGGGTAACCACTGGTTCCATGGGTAAATAATGTTGCTGCAAGCTGGCTAAGAATCATCTAAAACATGGACTTGCAATATTAATGATTATAGTCATAGTTCATTTTTCCACCAAAGGGAAATTTTTTATATGTATTTTATTTATTATATGATTCATGCAGCTTCATACAGACATAGGTTACAACATATGAAAAACCATTTCATAAATTTAGAGTATTAAACTTTATTAAAGGGGTATCATCTTACATAATCCTCCTTTTTCGAGCTATATGCTGCAATATAATCAGCATGTTTCTGTAACATCAGTGTTTTAGGTGCATTTTCTGATATAACAACATCCTTTATTGGTGTTCCCTGAAATTTATAAAAAAAAATGCCAGTATATAAATTGTCACAATATGATTTTATATTCCACGCCCCCTACCCGCCTTATACTGAGGCCAATATTATTTGGTGGTTTCTAAATTGAAATTTAAATATTTTTTTTTTATAATTTTACTAGCAGATTCCAGTAGTTAGACACTCTATATTGTCAGTTGTCATAATTTTGATATATAACTCCCCCCACCCCCCTTACACCGAGGCCAATATCTTCTAAATAGAAGAAAAACAACAGCTTAGTAGTTAAATTTTTGCTGGCTGATTCCGGAATAAAAGAAAAGTTTCCATCTGTCTGAGGAAGACAATACAGCAGAAATCAATGCTCTGCTAAGTAACATCTTTAATATTTTTCTCTTGTAAAAGTACACTTTTGACTTTAAAATTCAAATAACAGCAGTTCAGCTTTATAACACATAAAATTTGGTCCACACTTAACGCCTCAGGGCTGTCAAACAAGCAAAAATCTAAAAGCCTGGTTTGGGATACAAGTTTAAAGGCACCTGTATAGATCAGTATGGAAAATTTAGGTAGTTTACTCCACAGGCCTCAGATTAAATGTCAACTTACTCAGAAATACGCAAAGTACCTTGATAGGAGAAAAACCGGCACCAAAGAACCTATCTGTACTGCGTCAAATTTTAATTTCTCTAGCTTTAAAATTTCTAGCTGGAAAATTTTCAAAAAGGGGCAGCATGGGTACATTTGGGTATTTTGTGCCGCTGTCAAAAAGTGTCAGGTTGAGGGCAGCACAAATTACCCAAATATTGCCAGAATATACTAAAAATAAATGTTAATTCTAAAACAATTATGCTTTAATTAAGGATCACAATATACACTTTCACTTCAATATAATCAAACATACCCAAATATACATTTCCTATCATTGTATTTTGAACCAAAACCACTGTTGTACAGCGTCCACCGGATATAGCCCCTCAAAACTCCGAAAACGAAAGTAAAAAGGTTTACGTCGAGTTCACCCAAGGTAATGTTTCAACTTATTTCTCCATCATAACTCCATCAATTTTTCCAAACTTAACAATTTTGTGAAGCTAAATATGTCAGGGTTTAAGGCAGTATTTGCTTTTTTCTGCAAATTGAATACTTTTTGTTAAATCGGCGATAAATTGTACCGTTTTTGTTGACATTTGCGAACGATGTTGATATTTACCTGTAAATCAGGTCCAAAAGGCATTTGTTGTATCAAAATCCATATTTAATATAAAATATAGGCTTCCTTCTACTTGTATTTGAGTGGTCATCCCTCAAATCGAGCTGCTTTTAGCAAAATTTGCGAAAAAAGACATTGCCTAGTGTACAGAGTCTAGCAGGGTTTTGTACGGGGTGTAGATGGAAAGCTGTTAGCAAGTGTACGGGGTGTAGTGATAAACGACTGCTATATTTTCTTCTCAAAAAAAAACAAAACACTAAATAAAGTACCAGAGCATACACGTACGCTGATGAAGGAATGACGATCGATGCCGGGGCAGGGATCGAAAAGTGAAACATTTTATCATTTTAAAAAGGATAAAAAATGTTAAATTACATAAGAAACATTATACGTTATAAAGTTATTTGCTAGCCTCCTCATATGAAAAATAACAATAAAAAAATATAAAATAATATATGAATTGACTATATTTGATTTGATCTAAATAATGTTTTTTGTAAGAAAGCAAGCGGCTACCTAGAATGGCACATTCTCATGTTATAGTATGAATTTAAGTAATTATTGAAGTTAACAATCAATATCTTGTGTCTTCGAATGACTGTCAGCTCATGAAGACTATAAAAATTTAAAATATATGACTGCTATACACTGTAACATTCTACTAAACCCTGTACATTAAATTTCTACACCCCGTTCACTTAACTTTGTATTTCTTGCTAGACTCTGTACACAAGGAAAGACTGTTTCTCGCAAATTTTGATAAAAGCAGCGCGAGTTGATGGATGACCACTTAAATACAAGTAGACGGAAGTCTATATTGTATATTAAACACGGATTTGAGAACAATAAATGCCTCTTGGACCCTTTTTACAGGTAAATATCAACATCGTTCGCAAATGTCAACAAAAACGGCACACTTTATCGCCGATTTAACAAAAAGTATTCAATTTGCAGAAAAAAGCAAATACTGCCCTAAATCCTGACATATTTAGCTTCACAAAAGTGTTTAGTTAGGAAAAATCGATGAAGTAATGATGGAATAATAACTTTAAACATTACCTTGGGTGAACTCGACCTAAACCTTTTTACTTTCTTTTTCGGTGTTTTGTGGGGCTATATCCGGTGGACGCTGTACAACAGTGAAAACATACTGATGATACAGAAGATCTATAAATTCAAAAAATACAACATTTAATAGGACACTTACAAGAATTAAATTTCAACAAAATAATACCCTAAACAATCAAATGTAGACAACAAATATTATCATATTTTTATCTTAAATTGCAAGTACACGGATTGACAGTTTCCAAATTAGCAGACTACAGGCTTTTCTTATCAGTAGAATTGCGAGTAAAGATAACCAATTGCGTATCTCACTGTATAAAACATATGTAAAATGTTCTGACATGTGGTAGGTTTAACTGTAAATTTAAATACCTTCAGTGTGAAACAATGTGTTGAAATATATACTGAGATGAAGCTAAGATCACCAGCTTTTCATTGGTGTAATAAAATTTAAAATCGGACATTAAATGGACTAAAACTAGTAGAGGTTTAAAAACGGCTAATTTTGCATTGTTTTGCATTAAAGATATTGTTTATTTGTCTGTTTGTTTGTTTCATTTTACGCCTTTTTCAACAGTATTTCAGTCATATAGGCGGGTAGTTTTCTTACCATCATTCCTGGAGAGTTACACCAGTACTAGACTACCTTCCTCAGCGCTAAACTACCAAAGCATCTCCCGAGGATCAGACCCACGCCAGAGAGGTAACTGGATTAGAAGTAATCGACTCCAACCCCTCGACCTCTGAGGCGGTAGAGATATTGATTTTACTTGAAGCTAAGGGAAATAACTCTTGTTTTTCACTCGATATACCTCCGTTATTTACGTAGTTCATATAGAGACTGTCAATGGGTGTATTGCAAGTAATGAAGCATTGAACCAAGATAAGTAAACCAGTATCCTACCGTGACCCAAATTCGGCGTTCTCCTAAATTCGGCGATGTTTTGTTTTTCATCATTCCCGCGAGATTTCAGAGGTGAAGGTCAATCATGTTTATGTCCCACGGTCTATTTTTACAAATCGAGAGATTTTCTGTGCTAAAGATGGAGACACAGCTGGTAAGCATTAAAAATTGTACATGACATGGAGAAAATTGTGTGTTTTTCCTGATGCAATTTCAAGTTTATCTATACTTTCCTCTATTTGATTGATATTGTTGCTTAAAATAATTTGACAGTCGCCGTTTTTTATCTAATATTAAAATAACTATTATTACTGCCGATCTAGGTCAACATTCTTCGTCACAATCCCGCCAAAATAAAAAAATTACTGCAACCCAATCAGAATCGCCGAATTTAGGTGACGTTTTCAGTTTGTAGTAAGATTTTACATCAGCCATATTTGTTTATATTTGGCAACCGCTGAACGATTACATTGTTAGAAATGAACTTAAAGTAACTTTTAAATATTTTTAGTATAATTATATCAAGTATAATTATAGATTACTGTAGTTTATTGAAAATGCCATTGACATTTGTTCTTATATCGCCGAATTTAGGTTACACCGGGATACAGGAAGACTGGGCTTTTAAAGTTTTGAAAGCAAGAACTATATGCAAATCTGATTGCCTTTTATTCTGTTTGGACAAAGAGAGTTCAAGTATATCCATCTATAACAAAACTACGTTGAGGAGCTACTCGTCACCATGGAGAGACAAGTCGTTTTTGATGATGAGTGAGAAATTATGGGGCGAATCGTCAGTGGGACGAATCGTTATTCTGTCTTAAATTATCCTCAAATTATCTTTAGGCCATTTAATAGATTTTTGAAACAAGGTCTTAAATTTTATATTGATCAATCAATTTCATTTTAAAAGAAATAAAGCTTACCATCACTAAATAAACGAGAAAATAACACTTTAACAAATAACATATAGACGCTCTGGTCAGATATGAAAGCGTCTAGCTGATGTAAAGATAATTGGAAAAGAAAAGAGTTTAACGAAAAGAAGCTCAAAACGCAGTACTTATTGACAATTAATTGCCTTTGTAAAATAAACATAAGTAACGTACATGCTGAAAGTTGTTGAAACACACCGTGACTGAAGAAAGTATAACGATATTTATTAAATTTATATCTTTTTAATTACAGCCTCTGTTTGTTTAACTACTGCATTACTTAAATTAGTCCGAGATGATTGTTATTAATCGCCGATGTGTCTATTATTTTAATTATTCTATCCAAATTGAACACACCAAATCTCCGCATACACACGTCAACAGAAGTGTCGTCACAAATGATTATAATAATCAAATTAAAGTCTAAGAGCTCAAGATGACTTAATGATCAATTCTCTTGGACTTCTGCATGTGACATTGACTTTGGCCAAAGAGGCCTGAATTTTGTGCTCAACACTATGCCTCACAATGTTGAACATTTATGCCAAGTTATATAGCAGTACAAATTTAACAACAAACAAGTGTATTCCTCTGTCTGACCTTGACCACGGATTTAAATTATAAATCCGTGCCTTGACATTTGACCCGCTTAATGTGTGCAATACTATACGTCTCATGATGGTGAATATTTGTGCCAAGTAAAACTAATTATCATTTTTATCAAAGATCCCCAAATACATGCAGAAGATTAGTTCTTGATATTTTTTTTACATTTAATCATTTCTGTTGACATTGACCTTGCATAAGTTGAAAAAGATATGCTAGGAAATTGTGCATTTCTGATACACCAATCAATTAAAGACTACAAATTTGTCCAGACACAGATTTTCGTATATTTATCTAGCTTTTGTAATTTGTGTGATCCATGCATTAAGACAAATTTAGACATCTTATCATCTTTGCTGACCTTGACCCGGATTACACTTGCAATGTGACCTTGACCTGGTTCATACCCGCAGCACAATTTATTTCAAGCAATACTTTATCCAACAATGCATGTAGATAAAATTATCCGAATGAATTCTACTAGGAGCATGACAAAACGAATCAAGCTCTCAAACTATAATAATATGAGGTCACAATCAATAGTATTAAGATATATACATGTATAATCGACTACGGAATATATCTGGACTCGTGAAAAGTCTGAAAAATTATATGATGGCTGGTCAAATAATGTCTCTCAAGTTGTGTACTTGACATTCTCGTATTAGACAGTCATATAACTTTGGATGGTCATGTGGTACGATTTAAAAGCAGCAATCGACTGATAATAAAATTATGAGGTTATTATATATTTGAGTACAATACTGGATAATACAGGACGAGTACACAGCGGTCAAATCTGCATTGGACGAGACGCTATCCGAGTCTGATATAGGTTTTGTACAGGTACAATAGAATCAGTAATGTTCTCAGCAATGTTAAATGGCCTTTTATTTCAAACCATCATTTTTTTTGACATTTTGATAGAACTTTGTTACTACATACATAGTGCTGACTTCAAAATCAGCTAACCTTACCTGACCGTTAGGAGTTCATCCATAGTTCATCTTTAATGAGACTGCTCCTTTTTCGTGTTTTTATCAAGACCAAATTAGCGTGATTACTTTGTTAATGATAATAATAACAAGAGGTACCAATAATTTATTGAATTTGATTGATTTACTTATGTTTAGTTTGGCTAATAATTGAGCTTTCAACCTCTTTAACAAATAATATATAGTGACAAAAACATCGTTAACATGAACGAAATATCGTTTTACTTTGAACAAATAATAAATTTGCGTAGGCTTTCGCATCCATTAGAATGCCGCCGCCATTTTAATTATCTAGTACTGGTTTAATTCACTTTTCTTCTAAGACTGCTGGTACGTGTTCTTGTATATATACTGACGGTTAATCATTTAGACTTTACTGCAGAAAAGAAAGCATTTGTTTTATACTAATATGGACTGATCTTATTTAAAGGTAAATCATATAGTTATCAGTTTTGAATTATAGTATATACATGTAATTTACAGTAACCATTTACACGTTATTGTTTAGATGTATGGAAACTAAGACCGCTTTTCAATTTGTACGTGATCCGTGATCCGCGTATGTGATGCGCTCCGGAGTATGGCCGCTATTCCATTGGTACGTGATCAGTGGTCCGCGTCCGTCATCCCTGTCCGCTACCGATTCGCTAATCAAAGAATACGTTGAATCTTTTCCTTTTGTCCGTTTACCATCCGCTTCCGCGACGGCATCCGCGACGTTTTGCAGGATGAGCAATTTTTTACGGACGCGGACAGTCACGGACTTGTCTCATCCCTACAAATGCCTCGAACAAAATTAAATACCTCATCGATTTCGAAAGAAAATACTAAAGAGCTCACCAAAATAGTGTGGGAGAACCTATAACTTTATGATGCACCAATGACAGATTAAAAAAACAACAACATCTGGTCTTCGGTTGCTAAAGAGATGTTATTTAAAAACAGAACTGGTATTCAATGTTTGTTATCTAATTCTTTGATGTTACTGTTTTTGATATTAGAATGAAATTATATCATATTCTACAAATAATTAACCTCTGTTCGCTACACTTCAATTAAAATTATATAGAAAAAACGTACCTATGGAATAATACCCACGGACATGCCCCGGACACGGATCACGGACGCGGGTCACGGATGGCGTACCAATGGAATAGCGGCCTATGATCGTGAGTATTACGCCGCTAGTCCATTGGTACGTAATCCGTGATACGCGCCAGTGACGCTGGCAGGGCATGTCCGTGAGAGTTATTCCTAAGTTACGTATTAATTCCATATAGAGCTCTACTTTAATTATAGTATAACAAAGAATAATTATTTGTAGAATATGATATAATTTCCTCATAGTATCAGAACCATTTCTACCATCAAAGAATTAAGGTGGAACGGAATAGGAGAACGAAAAAGGAACAAATGAGGTTATTAATTTTCATCTCTTTTGCAACAAAAGCACATATTTTTTTGTGTGTGTAAAAATCTGTCAGCGGTGCATCATGTAGTTGTGCGTTCTCCCGCACTATTTCAATGAGCTTTTCGAAATTAATACAGCATTGAATTTTGTTGAATTTTAAATAATTTGTTCGCAGCGTCTGTCATTACGAGACCTGTCCGCGACTGTCTGTGTTCGTAAAGAATCGCTCATCCTGCAAAACGTCACGGTTGCCGTGGCGGACGCTGATGATAAACGGATAAAAGGTATAGACTCAACGTATTCTTTGTTGAGCGAATTTGTCTCTGAGCTGATCAGGGATCACGTATCTATGGAATAGTGCTCTAATGACGCTTCTTACTTTGGGGGAAATAAACGATTATAAAGTTCAGGCATACCGGCTTTATAATATCACATTTCTCTATTATACATGATTGTTTTAGTAAACAAACACTATATTCTTAACTTATTACCACTACTAAGTATGTGCTTAAAAATATCCTTTTAATTCAGCACTGTTTCTATGTTATAACTAATATTTTAGTAACAAATGTCAAGCGATCGTGCATGTGTACAACACCCTGGACTATTGTTATAGAATAAGGTATTTCACGAAAGAATAAAAAAGTGACATAAAAGAAAAAAAAACATATCTTTTGAATATTTTTATTTTTAATTGAATTTGAAGTTTATGGTATATAAATAATCAAAAGCTTAATTATAAGATTATGGTAACGAAAATACAAGCGAAAGTATGAAATACTACATTTAAAGGTTATGGTAAAATAAGAAATCCAAAGACTTCAATTTCACATTTAAAATTAATGGCAAAATAAGAAATTACTAGTATTCAATATTACATTTGACAATTTTTTTTGTTAAAACCACGGATTTACATTATAAATACGTGTTAAAACTAAGAAATCGGAAGTTTTCAAACTAAGACTAAATTGCATACAGTATTTCAAACTTGATTAATATCATCAATGCGAAAATCCATATTCTAACACGATTTACATTATTCCCAATTTCAAACAGCTAGGCCAATCAAGTCCATTTTTACACGATTTAATTATGCATGTCTTCAAAACATATGTCAAATAAGACGCCAATAAAGCAAATGACATCAGGAAAAGTACTTCTACGCTCAATGTAGTTAAACATATTTTTACCAATTCTCTTTCTTATAAGTTTCTTAGAATGGTATTAGATATTTTTTGTCAAATGCTTTGAAATCAATAAATTAATAACTCAGGCCTATCGTCCTTCGTGATTGTATTCCTACGCATTTGAATAAAAACCAACGATGCACTTAAAATGGACATCTATTTCCGAAACAAACTTTGCCTTTTTTCACATGGCACAGTAGGCAACATAACGATGCTTTAATGCTAGTTTAAACTCGTTGCTTACTTCTGTCTATCACTTTAAATAATAATCTCTTTGCGTATTCTGTAGATATGCTGCGAATAGGGATTTTACTTACTTGCCTGTGTGAAGGTCGTGGACATTCTTATGGGGATTCTGAGATTTATAAAAACCTAACCAGAGTCATACAACAGTTTTGTCCTGGTGTAAACATCTGCTCCATGAATGAGTCAGTCTCAGCTTCTTCAGGGAATTCTTGTTGTGAAGGTAAGTAAATAACGCAACTTTGGTAGTCTTTTGTTGTTTTTTTTACATTTCATATATTCATAGCATCCACCGCTTTTCATTAGATGACATCAAAGTGTCACAGTGATTATTTCTTGATCAACGCCAAAGGAATACAATGTACATTCGAATATTCGTATTCGTTTTTCAATGTTCGAATATTCGGTAGTGTTTCGAATATTCGAATATAATTCCTGGCCCTAGTTATTACCATAGTTCTACTGTTTGACTAACGCAGTAAGGAATATTTTTGCATATTTTGACCTCTATTTTTAGTTATTTACGTGAATTGAAAGTGTCATTTGCTATTTACTTTCTTTGTTAACTTTACAATATTTTACTTATTTTACTTTGCATTTTCATGAAAATAATTATTAACATGAATCTGAGGGCAAGCTGATTTAAATCGCAATACTAGTATTTGATGATCATTTCTTCATTTTTACTGTTTGAATAATGAACATTTTCAGAATGTTCCTGTGAGCCTGATTGTTCTATTAATGGTAACTGCTGTTTTCCGGAAAGATTAGCGTCAAATCAAGACGTCAATGAAAGGATTCGTGACTTTCCAACCGAACGGACCTGTCTGTACCCTATGACGCCACAACCAAACGAAGATGAAAAAATGCTCTACCAGTCATTGATAATGGTCTCCTCTGTTGGCAAAATTGTCCTAGATAATTCAACTGGAACATCAAATAGTTCTTGTGGAGATGCAAATGTAGCTCCTTGGGGCAGTTTGTATCCTGTTTATTCAGCAAGATCTAAACAAGTTTATAAAAATCTGGTATGCGCGCAAGAAAATGACATCTCTGACGGTATAATTTGGGATGCTGTAATTAACTGCATTTCGGATGAAGTTATTGGTGCGATGATTGCTCTTGAGTCAAATACCTTCCCAGAAAGTTGCATAATCAACTTTATATATCCTGGAGACTATGATGATTTACAAACATCAAAATGCGATCTCCCTTTTATTGACAAATGCCCTCAGGACCCGGATTTCCAGATGCCTGAATGGACAAGTCTGTCGAAGAGAGATATTGTTATATTATGTGAAAGCGGACTTGTGGCGCCATATGAGTTGAAAAAAAAATACGCTAATGTATTTTGTCATACTTGTAATGCCGAAGGTTTTAGCAGCTTTTGCGAAAAGAAGTCCGACGGTAGGTCAGATGGGATCATTTCAAAAGGTTTTACCGCGCTGATAGATGATGGTTTGATAACGAGAACGAATGGCAACTACCAGACCAATGCAGGAGCCGTACCAAGGGTTTGCGCTTTTGAAGAGGTGAGTCTTTATTCAAGATCATTCATGTAAATATTCTATCTAAGAGTTATCATAACGTTAAATATTGAATGAATGAATGCACGGTTTGATAAATGTATAATAATTGTATTTTAATTGAATTTTCTACAGATAAGAATAATAATTTTGCGTGTTTTTTATTATAGAGTATCAAATGCCGGAATGTGTTTTGCCCAGCAGGTCAAATAAGAAATTAACACGGAAGCTGTATATATGCAATCAAGGTTTGGTACAACCAGTTCGTTGGTGTTTATATCAACTTAACTTCGGATGAACTAATCAATATGGCTGATATGTTCAAGATTAAATTTGGAATGATTACATCAGCTTTGCCTCCTTTGGATTCTCCCTGGGACCGACGCTGGTCTATAATAAACATATACTATAAAGTCACGGACATAGAGCACTTCTCAAATAACTTCATAGTTCTAATTGGTACCAAAAAACGCAGGGAGAACCCGAGCAGGATCATTCGGTACATTAAAAAGATGATCAGCCGACCATGGTTAGCACATATGAACAATGACACCATTGTTCTCAGATCAAATGGTTTTGCAACATTTACGTCCGGCTTTGGTGATGCCGAAAAGGAAATCATGTCTGTATCTGACACCATCAAGAAGACTCACGAGAAATCACTATATTACCTTATAGGTCTTTATTCGTCAAGTTTGGACATGCTTATTATAACAAAAATGTACGTCTGTGAGCAAGTCGAACTTAACCAGTCAGAATTTTTTCTAAGCCAAGATGAGGTCATTCTGTACAATTACAGAACTTTGCGTTTTCTGTTTAACGGAGAATTTGTTGTCACCTGGAATAACGTCTTTGAAGGACCACGCGTTAGAATTTGCATCGACGATTCGGGACTGAACAGAAGTACCAGTTCACTACTTGTTGCACAGTTATCTGTCATGTTTATGTGTCTGTGTGTTTTTGTGTCAATGTGGACAGATATTGTGGGGCTGCGTTCCGTCCATGGCACGCGACGTATACAAGGTTTAGGCTCTAGCAGAAAGGTGCTTTGGGTCTTATACCGTATAAGTACTTTTTCTGCGGGAACTTTAGTTCTGCCATTTCTGCCGTTCATAACGACATCACAGATTTTAAAACTGCAGAATATTAAGCCTTTCCCTATGCATATGTCAGAATATTTCAACTACCGCGCGCGGTATTGTATAATTACATTACCATGGACTGTTAATTGGCTTTTGTTGTGAGAATGTTTCTTTATGAATCTGTAGTAAATAAAGATAAGAAAAAAAATCGTTATTTTGCTCGTTCCTTTTGTTTAAATAAATATTTTATTTGCAGAATATTTTTGTATATTTAACGAGAACTCGAAAAAAAGTTATAATGTTTATCACTGCAATTAAATACTAAAGTTGTGTCCACGTGCGATTTATACCCTTTTTCATACAGCTGTTTTAATTTCAAAATATATTTAACGGTTATGCTTTTATCAAAATCTTGATAAAATAACCCTTGTTTGGTATTCGTTCATATTTATAATGGCACTCGAAATTTTTCGGACATATTGCTTATGTTAGGGCTTTTCCCTCATATTGAGCAAAGAAGACCTTCCAAACTAGTACAAAAACGAATCCGCAAAGGAATCAGACAAAGGGTCTTTGAACTGTTATGTCGAGAGTTTTTTACGATAATTCATACACTTTATATACAGAAAGAACAAATCGCTGGTAAAAAAAAACAACAAAAAACAAACATGCCACGCGGAATTCTCCCGGACATATGGCTTGTTCTAAGGCTCTTTCATCATCATATTATACAAATAAGTCCCTCCAAACGGATTTTTATCGGTTGGCTCCAGAATATGGTGACTGTTACGAAAACTTTACAATTTATATAAAGACGGAACAAATCGCCGAACGAAAAGACGACCATGCCATGCCTCATATTGTGCAAAGAAGACCCTCAAAACTAGTACAAAAACGAATTTGTAACAAAATTAGACAAATGATGTTGTAACAGTTAGCTCTAGAATATGTCTTTTTCGAGAACTAATACAATTTATACAAAGAAAGAACAAATAGCTAGTTAAAAAAAACAACAAAAAACAAAAACAACAACAACAACAAAAAACGACCATGCCACGCGAAATTCTCCCGGATATTTTCCTTGCGTCAGGGCTTTGTGTAAAGAAGACAATCCAAACTAAAAAGTAAACTGAAACAGAAATAGACAAATGGCCTAATAGCGGTTCGCTCTATATTTTTTTTTCAATTTATAAACATGTTACATGTATAAATGAATCGAAATGTTTTCCACAGTGAATGTAGAAATCACCCACTTTATTATGACATTTATGACATTATGTATAAAGCATTGCACACAGTTCACATCCATGTCGACAGAACGATACCAATGTAGTGTTTATGTTAAAACGTTAAGACGAGACCGTGTAACCCCAGAATAACACCTGTTAGAAACATATATCATATCTAGCTATGTTTGAATAACATAGATGATTTTAAAGCGGTAGTCTGTATATACAAGATATTTTAACAGACACCGAAACCTTTCAAAATCATTGACCTATAAATTGTATAAACATGCTGTCAACCCAGGGAATTACAAGAAAATACCACGTACAAAATTTTAAGCGTTTGTTTGATGAAAAACAAATGGGCCATTTACTTATCGCGGTGCTCGTTTTAGCCACAGATTATCGGCGTGGGACCAAGCCTTACCCCAAGGTAACCCCCCCAAGGACCCACTATACTACCCAAATATACTTCAACACATTCAAAAAAACATGTCAATACAAACTCAAACAATTCTATCAATAATGACTGATACTATAAACTATGTACATAGTTTATAGTATCAGAAATATTTTTTTGATAGAATTGTTTGATTTTGTATTGACATGTTTTTTGAATGTGTTGAAGTATATTTGCTTCGTATAGTGGGTCCTGGGAGGTTGGTACCTTGGGGGTAGGGCTTGGTCCCACGCCGATAACCTGTGGATTTCTAGTGAAAGCTTTTGAATTAAAGGAATCTAATTCTTGATAGATTTTTCTTTCTTTAGTACAATGTTTGTATACTATATAGCCTCATAACCGCCGTAAACAGTTACCCTCGAGCTAGATAGGACTGTAACGACAGCCAGTGTAAGGTTCTTGCAACATACAATTCTTTTCATATGATTCCAATGTTAAAAAAATTCTGCCCTCAGAAGAACTTTTTACAAGCCAGTTTTCATTTTATCTGCGCACGCCATGCAGTAAACGCGTTTGAATCGTTAATAAGCACTGATAAATAAAAAAAATAATGGATCAGATTTCAATTATCTCTGGTGATTACTTGCATATTGTCTCCCAAATCATATTAATGTGACGAACGCAAAGATTTAGTATCAGACTTGAAATAATGCGTAGTGAATCATTTATTCTATTTATTTAAAGGCTGCACAAGAAAACATTACGTCAATTATAAATGATATATATTAATTTAACCTGTTATACGTAAATGTTATACCAAGGTACCAAAGACGTTTTTATGGGAACTGTACGTGAAAAAATATACACCAACCCCCGTCCAAAAAAAAATATAAAAAAAAAGACAAAAAAAAACAAAAAGCCAAAAGAAAACAAAAATGACAACAAAGTGCCCCTGAAAAAACCCGTTGTTTTCATGTGCACATGTTTAAAATGAATGCATTTGCATATATATATATTTCTTTGAACTAAGTACCAAAATAAAGGAACTCACAAAATGGGCGTTAGATATAGTTTATGAAAACTTACATCTCCAAATACAATTATTTACGCGGCTTTACAGTAGATCATTTATGGTTAAATAAACAGATTAATTAGTCCATTAATGCATAATTGATTAAAAACAACAAGTTACAAAATAAACAACAATCGGACACGTCTTGTGGTACACCACTAACACGGATGCAAATGACATGTCGCGTCGTTACAAACGAATGTCTTTTTTTTAACACTAGTACCTTTTTTATCGTGTATAGAATAAGCTTATTACGTGTAAAGCAACTGACTAAAAAAAAAAACAATCCATCAACATAAAGAAGTTGGTTCGCTGTTACGCTAGAGATAATTTAAAAAGCCAAATACTTTGAAAAAGAAAACTTTATAGACAATTTTGACGTAACAATTACTCATGCTACACTTTAAGATACCAACATCCTTTTGTGCAAGTTTCATTAAAATTATAATGAACCATTTCTGTGTAGAGCACGATATCGTTAACAAAATAAATTGAATATTAATTATAATATGTTTATTAAGATTAGCATTGTCTTGTTTGGGATCGCGATACCTTGTGTTCTTGGAGTTGGTTATGGCAAACATAGTAAGTGCATTTTTCTCTCTTACCTGTTATGATAAACATATTTTATATTCTTAAAAATAATTTTCACATAATAATGTGGCGCCAATTCACAGAGAGGTTAACGCGCAGGACTATTAATTTCAGGATTTCTAGTCGTGTGCATTCAAACCCGGTTATGGACAAACCGTTGTTTCCTTGAGCAAAAAACTTTGAATTTACACTCATTGCTCAGTACTGGCTGGTTCCAGGAATCTGCAAGAGTGTGTATAATTTTACTGCTTCATACACAACCGAACTCAAACAAATTTTCTATGTTCATACATGATGAAATGTTTTCTTTAAAGCCCATTTAATGCTAAAAATGCTTATATTTTATTCGTCAAAGCTTTTTATTTTTTCTGTCCTGTTTTTTTATATATGTGAGAAGCATCTTAAAAAGTCTTAATACGAGTAGGTTGAAAAAGGTACATTTTTACAGCATTGTGAAAAACATGTTTTACATTTTTACAGCATTTTTATTCATTTCTGAGGCTTAATATCCTTTTATACATTGAATATTTAATTTCTGATGGGACACCGCTTTTGTGAAGTGACTGGGGTTCTAGTCCGTTTGCTCAATTCTTTTACGTTATTTTGTTTAACACAAACGTCTTCACGTACATCACGTGGAAAAAATACTATTATTACACTAATGTTATATCATTTTTATTATTTTTTTTTGTTTGTATAATAACCCATAGATGAAAACTAGGATCTAAATGTATTATAAAAGCCTTTTATATAGATTATAAATTATAATATTTTGTAGGGAACCAGCCACATCAATGCGATGACATTGCAATTATTGGTGCCGGTGTAACCGGAAGTTATGCTGCATGGCGACTACGTCAGAAAAATCTAAAAATAACTATGTACGAGTACTCGAACCGAATCGGTGGACGCTGTTTTACCGTCCATCTTCCAGATATACCGGATGTAAATATAGAAATGGGTGCAATGAGGTTCATACCGACATGTGAGTGAAAGTAGTGTAGCTATACGTGTTTATAAAACTATATAAACGTCACGATTATCCCATGAAAAGCGACGTTACACACTTGTATGGCTTGTACCAGTGTCATTTTTATTTACAGAGCATCCGACATAATTGTCGGAATTGTTTAAATATTTTGTCTAAAGTAATACGATTTAAAAGGTTTTAAAAGCCAATTCTAAATTATTCAAAATGAATACATGTTGAATTAATGCATTAGGGACAATATACACAAACTCCTCCAGAAAAAAAATCTAATAGACTAAGTTCAACTCATTCAACAGCAGCAGCAACAACAACAGCAGCAGCAGCAGCAGCAGCAGCAGCAGCAGCAAAAAACAACCAAATACAAACAGGGAAACAGGGGAAACAAGACAAGCAGCAACAAAGAGAACATTAACAGCGGGCACAACATAAACAACAACAAAATCAAACAGACACACTCACAATACAAAAACAACTAAACATAAAACAAACAACAACAGGACAAAAAAAAACAACAAAAAACAACAAACAGAAAAAACAAAAACAAACTGTAGTTAAAGAATTGAAACCGCTTTTGTATACCATTTACTTTTTTGTCAAGAAATCTGCACATCCCGCAATACAAAGCTCGCGTTCAAAAAGTTTATATACATGTATATGCAAATGCTGAGACAGAGCCTTTTTTAATTAGGCGGAACGAGAATGAAAATGATTAAGTATGATGAACAGTGTACATAAAATATACGTTTACGAAGAATTAACAAACCAACCTTTGTGATTGATGTAACATTTTTATTTTTCAAAATAAAAACAACAAACACTCAACACATAAATTATATCTGAATAATGAGTAAAATGTAGGTTTCATTTGTAAATATATCGCTAAGAATTATTCACTTTTGCAATTGACCCATGTAATTGACATATAGTTCTTATGGAAGGGAATCTCACGTTTTCTATGAAAGCAAGTAAAGTTTGCATTCCTTTGCTAAATAATTAGTATGAAAAAAAAAACCACTAGAAAACTAGAAAAAACATACTTATCAAGTCGAAATAACATGTATTTTCAACTAATAAAAGTTTGAATTAGCAAAATGTTTTGTAAGAACATATTATTTAAACAGATGCAATGATTTTTACTCTGGCATGTCATGTACAGATGTACATCTGACATTGCCCTTACCCCGAGTATCTTTTATTTTATTTAATTTCAGCACATCCATTAGCAAACAAGACAATTCATGATTTAGGTTTAGAAGTTATAGATTTTGAATTGGGTACCGGACCAAGCCCGGACTCTATGTACTATTTAAGAGGGAAACATATGAGCTACAGAAACCTGCCGAGGCAAGCTCCCTACAACCTACCGCCGGAAAATCGCCTTGACCTTAAAACACTGAACTGGTATGTAATGATTTACTTATCAAAATTATGATGAAAGATCCATAAGCCATCACAGTATATCAAAACATTTTTCGGTTTATTTTTACTTTCTTAAGCTATATATATAATATATATATAACAAAAGGAATCAAAATCGTGCACCAAAGCCATATCAGGGTGGCGTTTGTCTTTCTTCATATGGCGTCAGGCCTCAGGATTATAAAACCTTTTTTCCGAGTTTCATGTCAAATCTCCGTGTACATTCTGTTACAATTTCCGACCAATCCGATACCTGAGATCTGAGTTTGAGCTTGGAGAATTTCTTTGTAACCTTTGATACCGTACTGGTTAATTCCAATGAGACCAAATAACTAGATAAATCGGTTTTCATTTAACTACCTTTATTTCTAAACATTCCAATCCGACATGCGTGATCTGAAAATTAATGAACAGCTTAAAGCGGATTGGTTTACAATGGGCACATTTTCCGTAAGTTTTTTCAAAAATTGATATAAACAATACAAAATTAAAGTATCACTCTGATATCCTTATAAAATATTGTTTAAAAATGTTGATAAAGTTCTTAGTGATAAAGTATGAACACTTATAACGATAAATAATAATTTTGTTCATTAACGTTTTAGTATTTGCCTTATTAATATACGTATTATGGGATACACGTATCTCCAACATCATTCATATATATACTTAAGGACAATGAAAACGCACGGTCGGGATAATTGCATGTAAACAAGGAAAATATATTTCTTTTAAATCATTTTTCACAGTTTCATAAAACCGAATGCATTCCGGTCATTTATATACCAAAGTTATGAAAAATGATTGCATTTTAATGAAGTTATTGCATAATTAAGACAGTACCCGAAAATTCAAAAGTAACACTTTTGGCTAATTGTGATAAGATCACAACAGAAAACAGATTGAACCAATTAATGGTTACTTTATGAAATGAAATTATTTATTTTTTTGAAACTGTTAATTATAAACTTGTATTTTTACACCTTTCTAGAAATGTAAGACAAAAATGATCAATTTAAATCTTTATGAAAATGAATATTAAACAATGCCAATGGTCAGTTTTAGAAATCGTTAAAGCTTACATGGAAATTGCATATACACACGTTTCCTCTATAAAAGGTGCTAAATTACAAACACTACTGAAGACTTGCTATCAATTTTTTATGTAATGGTTCTACAAAGAAATAACCGCTGGGTAGATTTAGCGAAGATTAAGTCTGGTCTCTCTTATAAACAAAGGGCCAACCGTTTTGGTGTCCATCGGTCTATAATTTCTCTTTGAATGGCGTCAGATTCCACAGGCGACTATCCGCGCCTTAAGGTCAATGAGGCGAGGATGTACATCTGTAAGAGACGCTGATGGAGGACATTGTCGTTTCTAAAGATCCCGACGGTGACATTACGAATAGACATTTATGAGTGACTTTGTTTTGGATTTTCATTTTGGTTTTTGCCTCTGTTAAAATTGCATTACTCTGATGAAAAATTGTGATTTTGGGATTTTCACCTTCGGTTCTTAGATTTACTGGTGTACATTTGATTTTAAACATTTTGAATTATATTCAGTTGTTAAGTTTGCGATTTGTTATAAAGTTATGATATATATTTAATGGAGTCGTTAGTGTTATATTTTCATGTAATAAAATGCATATAGTGCGGGCGTGCGTTTTCATTGTCCTTAAGTATATGAATATTTCTTGAGAGCAATAAAACTTCTTGTATCGAAATGGCCCATAGAAGCTGACTAGTGGTCATGCATTGCTGTAAAATTCTTCACATTTGGAGCTTAGAAATGTTGAATGTGAGTTTAAATGATGCATATATTTTTTCAGGAATGTTTTCAAAAATTTCACTGTTGTTACTCAAAACGGGACCATCCTCAAATCTTTGGACGGAGTAGATTTGTCTGATCAAAGGTTAGATAAACAGATTTATCTTCATTATTAACCGCCTTTTCCGTATGCAAATTACCTTTTCTTATTTTCAAATGAAATATTCAATTTATATATTACCCTGTTTGGGATCAATGAAATTACACGATTTTTATCCCTGTTCTGTATATTGAAAGATAAAGCATACTATGATGCACCACGGGAAAATGCGCCACTGAACATAGTTGGTCGCCATTTTTGTTCCAATACGAAAAGATACAAAATGTGCTTGGTAAAAAGAAAAAAATCGTGATTGAAACTGCAATAAGGCAATTTTGGAAAAGTAATCCGGGTGAATCATTCATATCAAATTTAATAGATTTCAATATCGAAATACAAAAAGAGCTACAAAAGTATAGAGCCTGGTCAAACCACACGGATGTGCAGGTAGGCCTGGCTCTATACTGGTTACACAAGATAGCCACTATCGTTTCCAGCGGGTACAGTGATTTACATGTAAAACTGTAAGATACATTTGCTGAATATAAATAACCTAATCCGCTTGCAAAAGTAATGACAGACGATCATAGAAAATTAAATCTTGTTGTTCGTCGAAGAATATGTACAAATGGTGTTGACAGGAGACTAATACATTATTAGAGAGTGGTTTTCCAGGACATGGTCCGGGATATTGCAGCATTAGACAGTCTGCCAACCTCAGACCCGGGTCAGCAATCTTCTGTACCTAATGCAGTCAAAACTGTCAAGTCAGGATTTCAGTCTATACCTTTAACACTTGTTGGGCAGTTTTTACAAGCCAGCGAGAAGTAAGTTTCATTTCTTACAACTAATGATATGATGATCTAGCGAGAAAAATACCAAATGATAACTGTTTAGTAATTGATACTGCAAGTAAAAATGCGCATATCTTGTTTATGTAAATTTTGTTATTTTTCAAAACCTGAAAACTGCTTTCTTTGGAAATGCCAATAGTAACTGTGTTCATATATCTATAGAAATATATCTAGAACAAAAATAACACAATTAAACCAATTAGAAATGGAAAAATGTTTACTTGTACTTTAAATTGTATGTTTCAGACATAGTTTTAACTATAACCGTCATCTTAGATCAATTTTGAAGCGAAGTGATGGAAAATATACACTAAATTTCAAGCCAACAAAAACAATAAACGGAATAACCACCGATGATCAAGTAAGCAGTATCTAAATAGGGTTTTAAGTCATACGTACATTGTAAAGAAAAACATTGTCGCAAATATAATAGTGGATGAACTTCTCGTGTACTTGATTAAAACCGCCGATCTACCTGAAGCTGGCTAGATAGCTTCTTTTGTATGTTTAAAAGAATTATAGCCCCTTGCGTATTGATTTGGTTCAAAGTTTGAAGCAACAGCGGCGAGAGAAAAGCGATAAGGACTCGAAGAACGACGCAACCACCTAGCATCCGAGGCCGCGTAAGCTTTGAATGAATATATTATTCACTTGAAGGTAGATCAGGTAGATATGTCGCTAGAATATTGAAAAAGTAAACGGTTTTTTACTTAACCCGTATCATAAACTTTTAAATTTCTGTCAGCTAAATTTCTTTTATTATTAATTTTTTCGTCTTTTAAAATACACGACACGTTGTTTCATTTTGTTATCATGGAATGCATGAAAACTATTATATGGTGGCCGTGTTTGAAGACATACATCTATCCTTAAGGAAACATATTTCATATCTAGAATATGCATATTATATCTATTTTAGAGAAGTGACGTCATCAAACGGTGTGCAGACAGGGTGATACTAGCTATACCTAGAATTGCCATAGAGAACCTTGACTGGGACGGACTTAAAGATACACAAGTCCAAGAATATCTGAAGCATTCAATAAAGGTTGTTTTCAGTCGTTTAATACTAATAGATTTATCTGAAGAGAGTAATTTATTTAACTACAAATTTAACGTATCTAGACTTGCTTAATTTTGATTTGACAAAAAAGTTGACTTCTTACACATTTTATTTCAAAATAAAATATTGTGTTTAAAATCAATACAAAACAAAACTATAAATTTCCATTTCAGCCTATATGTATTTAATTTTGTTTCTTAACTTAACGATATTTTTCATGTAATGTCTTACATGACCTTAAATGAACTGATGTATTTGATTTATTAACATTTCATGGATAACGATAAAAATTCTACTTTAGGAGATCAAAGCAGCTAAAATATATTTTGGTTATGATACCGCTTGGTGGCAACACCTACCGAGAGCAACAAAATACGCTGTTTCAATGACGCCATTGCGGCAATCTTACGATTTTGGCGTGTCAAAAACTACCTCTAAAGGGGTTTTAAATATTGCATACACAGATGAAGGTAACATATATTAAGGTTATGAAACTATACTTTATGGAATATATTTGGACGAATACAAAGCTTCAGAAAACATAATGACCGTTCCAATAGGCCAGTCTAATTAATAATTATGTACACATTTTATACCGTGTTGTTAAGAATAATTTTAAATAACATATTTATTCAATATCAAAATTATAACCTTGAAGTAAGCTCTATTCTAGCAAGACATATTTATCATAACAGTGCCTAACAGTTATTTATACTTTGCATGATAAAAAAAGAAGAGTTTATTATATTTCATCTTGATTAAAACAGCAGGCATAGACAAATTTTCATTAATAAATAGTATAACACTTGTTATCTCTCTTCCTCTATCTACACGCACATTAATTACATTGCAGCTTACATATCAGGACGCGAAATTGTTCAGTGCTAAATTATATTTTTTGCATTTCGGGATCATTGATTTCAGTACTTTAGTGTTGACAATTGAATACCGGTGTTAAGAGGAGTGGGAGGGGGTGAAATGTGTTGCATTTTTTTACATTATCTCTCATGAACAGACTCAATCACTCCGTGCCTGCAATTCTCATTTATATTGTTTTTATTGCTTCACTTGGTGGTTCACATTCTTCTTTAGATTTTCATATTGTGATTACTGGTAAAAACGTGTTTTGTAGATACAAGAGTATGGCGTGAAGCTATGAAGGCAGGGAATGTTGTCCTTGGTGTCAATGATGATTCGATTGCAGCAACTAATCTAAGCGTGTACATGGCTAGAAAATATTATGCAGAAGTGTTTGATGTACCAATATTTTCAGTACCACAACCAAAGTCTGCAGTAAGAAGTTAAATATTGGTTTATGTAATGTTACTTTCATATGCTTAAATAATGATTTACAACTTACTGTATATACACGTGAGGAATTGTTAACAATGCGTCAACAAGTTCAAAACTTTTCAAATTCATGAAGTTTTTGAATGCATAAGTAATATTAATCGTTTCCCTACATTATGAGTGTTTGTATGATAAAGTACAGATTATGATTCAACTCTTTCATATATATAAATCTTCAATGCATTTTCAGTATAGGAAACTAAACTATGCTTATAAAATATATTCAGCCTTATTGTAACTGACAGGGTCATCGATTGGTTATTTTCAGTGTTGCCAGACCATGAACATTGAAGTAATAGTAGTAAAATGGAGAGCAATATTCGCAATTGTGAACTGTACATTCTAAAATATTATATGAACAACGCTATCATTTGTTTCATTTTTTTAGAATATCAATAATTATCCTTTGAGCTTAACAGTCTTTATGCAATTGATCTTTAATAATACCATATAACATTTGAAATTGTCCTTTACCAGGTTATGAAAGTCTGGGACCAGTACCCTTTCGGTGCCTCATGGTATTCATGGCGTCCCGGCTATAAATGGAATGAGGTAGAAACGCGCATGATGAAACCGTCTGCTACCGATGACGTGTATATTACGTCAAATGTTTTCTCAAGTAGCGGACGCACTGGCTGGATAGAAGGAGGCATGGAAATAGTGGAAAAAGTCATCAAGTTCTTTTAAACACAAAAAACAACATAAAAAACAAAAACAAAATAAAACGAAATAATCTACAAGTTTGTGAATTTTCAGTTTGATTTATTTGTCACGTTTATGGTTGAAATAAAAATGGTTGTTTAGTTACTCGTAAATATTGATCTTCCTTTTGTTATCTACGCAATTTTAGATAAACTTTTTCATTACAAAAATTAACACCTTGTTAAATTATACATTAAACGGATCTGACAGACAAAAACACATGGCAGAATTCAAGTTTTAAGTAACCGGACAATTGCTTATAAGAAATGGCAGTAAATAAATATATTAGAAACAGCAGATGATAAAAGGGTTTCGCTTCACTGTATTGACAAGAACGACAAGAACAACTTTTCACGAGAGAAAATAAACATGCTTTTACTTGTCAAATTTGGAAACAATAGATTTGTTTTCTTTGTTGTAACTTTTTGGTGGGATTTTAAGACGCACCAACACAGTAGAGGTCATATACATGTATGGCGACTTTCTAGCTTTATTGATGGAACATCATCAGTCTTACAGAATGCAGCAATGGGAACTGCAAATTAGGATTACCTTGACTCTGTCATAAACTCAAATAAAGTCGTTTCCAACACAGTATACAAGAACAATATAATCAAGTAAATTTTATCTGGGGTGACACAATATAGATTCAAAACCACACCATCTAACGTTGCAACAAAATCAGTTCACTTTAAAAAGAAAACAAATACACCATAGAAAGCAAAATAAAATTGCATCATCACAATTCAATATCTGCAGACAGACAGAAAGAAAAATAAATAAATAAGATAACAAAAGCATTTCTTTCTTATAATATGTCTATTCAATTAGTAACATTGAGGTAATTTCATTAACAAGTATTTTTGGGATGTTTCTTAGCTTTTGAGTCCCTGCAATACTTCGCTATGTTACCTGCAGCCATCACTATAGCACCAATTAGTATTGCACCTGCTCCAAAATAGAATGCTCCATCATAACTGCCATATCTGTCAATTAACTGGCCTGTAATTAAAAAGTCACTTCCAGTAACTTTATAGTCTTTTTTTTTCATCCAATGACAACATTTATGATATAATGTATGTCGATTTATCCTAAAATGATTTTAAAAACTAAGACTTCAGCTTGTTTCTTCTTTTAAAGATTTCACACCCTAACCAAGTATTGTTGCAAAATAATACAAGTACATCATATCAACTCCAGGCAATTTTAAATACTCAATTTATTGCCTTACAAAGTTGGCTATTTTTAAAGCTCACCTGAGATAGTTGGACCTAAGAACACAGCAATACATTGTACTGACATAGTTACCGCTAAAGAACTTGCTAATTTATCAACACCAAGTATGTCCATCATTACCACAGATCCCTGCAAATTAATCACAAACTACGTTCAAACATTTACCAAAATGTGTCGTCAGGGATAAAAATGTTTCTGAACTCTTTTGTTTTGCTTAACACGTCAACTTTTCCTCCTCTCGTAGATATTTATGTTTGATAGAAATATAGTTTTCATGACGTCTGAAGACTTTGTTGAAGGTGAACGCAAATAGAATTAAGTGTTTAAGGAACGTGAAAAAATATGTTAAAAATAAAGTCATGATTTTAGTTATTACATGGTAAACCTCTGATGTGTAGTTGTGTTTTTTAATAAAAAATGTCATTAAGTAAAGCAGATCTTTTGAATATCTTTTTATAAATTTTTCTAAATACTTAAGCAATCAATAAAGTCGTGATAAATAACTTAATATATATATTTAAATACCTCAATTCCGTGAAAACATAATTTGAGTATACATGAATATCGATAAAATACTTATGCATTCAAATAAATGGTAACTTTAAATATGATTAAAATACCTGGGCATTCTTTATTCCAACTACAGCACCTTCAAACGCACATAGAATCAGGAATTCGCTATATGACGTCATTAAAGGGAACAATACGACCGCAACGGCTTGTAAAAATGTAACAAAGTTGTATATAACAGGTCGAATAGAACGGAATAATTTCAAGTCGAGCACAAAACCTGATATCACACGGAATACAGTGTCACACCCAGCAGACATCGACAAAAGAGTAGCAGCTCTGATATCTGGAAAATTTCATTATCACAAAATAGTTTCGTTTGTACTAAGCCTCAATGTGCATTTGTAATTTCATTTTAAAAAAGCATATATTTGATTAAACGTTGCTAAAATGCTACAAGCATTTTCGATGAATGAAAACTTTCTGTTAATTTACATTAGTTATGACTATAATTCCCCATAAGTCTAAAGGTCACTATTTGAAAATATAAAATTATATACAGAATATGTATACACATCATACACCGATTTTATAGGTAAACATTTGTTTTTGATATTCTATAATATGAAAAAAAACTTTTACGCTTACATATTGTGCAATTTCTAACGAGAAAATGTGCTTTCTTTTTAATTTAGAAAGATTACAAAAAATAAAATATATATAAAATAAGTAAACAGGCGCTGCTAAGTATTTTAAATATAAATTTAAAAAATCATCTGTATTTCATAAGTTAGTAGTTACATAAATCTTAATTTACTTGCTTTTACGGATATCTACGGAAAAAAGAAAGCATCCTACCTGAAACACCTTTCGATTTAGCTAAAGCAGGTAAAAATAAAGTGCTAGTCGGAAGAGTAAAACAAAATGTTGCAAAGACAAAGCACTGAAAGCGCGTGTTTTTAAGAACAGACCAAGATATCAGTTTTGCTTTCTTCTTGCTATCTTTCTTTGTACTGTCTTTCTTTTGTTTCCGTTTAAAACAACAGAAAGCATTACTTTTATTGAAAGTCTTTGCCGAGTTTTCTACACTAGCATCATAATCTCCTCCGCTCGTTTCTGCTAAAAGTTCCCCTCTTAAATTACTTTCATTATCACAATCATTTTGAATCTTGCTTCTTCCATTTTGTTCTATAATAATTTCAACATTGCCTTTCCCGTTAAGTTGCTTATGCTCATCGTTTACGTTTTTAATTACTTTTTCCGAGCAACATTGTTGTTCCGCAGAATTTTGACATTGCTCCGAACTGTTGTGTGTTTTTGACTGAGATATTGATAATGCGATATCATTTGACTTTAAATTATTTATAGAAACTGTCGAAGAACACGTGACGGCTCCTGATTCTATTTGTTCAAAACTTTTAAGTACCAATGATTGACTTTCGGAAGAATTCTTTGTTCGTGTGACGTTTCTGAAAATAAGAAAATTGTAAACATACAAAGTACAGAGTAAAACAAAACATCATATTTTTTGTAGAAAAAATGTAACTGTATAATGAATTTCTAAATGAAGCACAACAAATTCAAAGTATTATGTTGAAGAAGAATAGCTACTTAAAGTCAGTTCTATATCATATTCTATGTCGTCACATGAAAACACAACCTGTTTTGCATTGTTAACCTTCTATGTACTTCTATTGGACGAAATAAAGCAGACGACACAAGAATATTCAGAGCAAAAGCACTCAATATCAGAAATGTACCCTGAAATGTAAAGATAACATTTTGCAAAACTTTTTTTTTCAGGATAAAATATCCCTGGATAATATGGAAACGACACGTAATGGCGATGTCAACAAGTTTGAACGTAAATCTTGATTTTGTCAAAATTACTGTTATTTTTTATTTAACGCAGGCAAAGTAAATGCCAATATAATTGCGCGTCCAGCAGTGTAAAAGAATATTGCCATTAGGTCACTAGATTGTTGGAAACATATGCAGCGAAACATAAGCGTTGATGCCCTCGCAATAGTAAGACATGGAATGAATAACGAACTAACTTGTTTTAAGAAAAAAATCTTTAGTTTAAAGCATTTAAAGTCAAATTTTTGTTAATAAATCAATCAAAATACCGAAGTTGTAAGGAACCTAATTTAAACGTAACAAAACAAAAACGTTGCTATAGGGCTACAATGTGCCGAATATGTTTCCGTCAATTAAAATTATTTTGTGTAATTAAGTCATGATAAAATATCATCAATATGTCTAATGAATGTATTTTATGATATGCTAAACTTAGACAATGATATTAACTTTAAGAGAATATATAGAGAAGGAAATAAGCGTATATAAATCAAAGAATTAGAAGTAAAAGAATCAATTCATTTGAATTCAGTACACACACCTGATAACCGTAGTATTGAAAAAGTAGTTCCACTATAGGTGTGATTACAAATCCACCTATGCTGAAACCTGCTGATGCTACACCAAATGCTAAACTTCTTCTCTTGTTAAAATAATACCCTAGCTGAATTGGCACCGGTGTAAGTGTCAATGCCCGACCTAAACCTACAGTTAAATTTGTAAAATAAAATACACAGAACGTCTGAGAAGTTTCTAGAAATGTTTACATATCGCGCTCAAAAACGACTGACATTTTTGTAATTAGAACGTTAACATTGTTTTCTCTAATGCTTTATTCATTATAAGGAATCACGGTTGCAATTTTTCTCCAGTGGTAACAATTAATCTTTGTCAAGTCTTAATATTTGATATCAAAGGATTGTCTTTCATAAATATCAATGACTTTAAAAGAACGTTTCCTATAGTGACATTCTAATATAATTAAAAGTCTTAAATGGTAAGGGAATATACTTGCCTGCCACAACACCGTAACTGAAGTATAAGAATTGCAAGTTAGGTCCAAACCCTGTAAGAATAACTCCTATGAACAAGACCAGCGTCCCTATTGATGTTAATACCCGGCAACGAAATCTTCCACTCAAAATACTCACAGCTGGGCCTGAAACAAACCGAACAGAAATAGATCCCCGCGTAACACTCCCTTTTTCAGTATAACATTCAATTAATAATAAATCGTTGTTTTATAAAATAGTCTATTGCCACATTACCTTTCGAAATTGCGCAAAAGCAGTCTTTCAACATAGATTTTGTGTCATTGCTATCATGATACCAACATATACGATTTCTAAGATACAGGTCTTATGCAAACACGTTTAGAGTTAAATATATTATGTCCCAGCGGTCTGGAATTATTACATTGGTTGCCTGAACAGACTGATATATAATAATAATAATAATAATAATAATAATAATAATAATAATAAACACTTTATTTCATGAAGGTAACATATTAAGAAAAATACATATCTTATTTACAGTATGGCCTTCAATTAAACAAGATAAAGAAATTCACAAATATGTACACATATCAAAAACATAACAACAACCATTCGAATTGACAGACACATGCATACATCAGATTCATTTAAAATATATAAAAATATAATTTATATTAAAATATATCAAAATATAATTTATCAAAATATATGTATACCTATCGCTTTATTTCTTTACTAGCTATTTTTTCTCCGAATTCTTTACAATTTTATAGTTTGGATTTGAATATGATTTAGGGCCTACATACCTGCAGCCAGTCTAAGAAATCCAGTTAACGAGGTCACAAGAGCAGTTGACGTTGCGGTACCATGAAATCTTTCCTTAAACTGGATATAGAATAATCCATGAGATCTTCCTAATCCACCTTCAACGTGAAAACAATTGCAAGTTAAAAGGTGTACTATAAGAGTAAAAACTCTCAAAATTTTAAGGATAACAGAACCTTATTTTAGGTATTTTATCTTTTATATCTAAAGTCCATACATACATTTAAACAACAAACTCTGATTATTATTTGCACCCAAAACAAAGAACTATGATCATTATTTACACCCAAATCAAAGAAACATCATTTATCAACCACTTATACGAAATATCTTTTCACGAATACGTCTTTTATACGAAACAATACTAGACACCTGGCGAGCCCAAGCTCTAAACAACTTATGACCAAACAAAACAATAAAGTCACCACAAAATGAAGAACAGAAAAATGAATATTTTTACACTCTAAGGTACATTATAAAAAACAAACATTCATCCAACAATATCAACTTCACAGAATCTAATCAGCATCAGAAAACGATTTTTAAAACTAAAGCACCCAATATTTACATATATCCTCAAAACAAAGCATCAACTAATATAATATTTACCAGACCAAATCACTCAAGACATTCAAAGAAATATTTATTACCAAACAGATATAACACAACAAGCAAAACAACTTATTACAACCCATAAACCCTGACCACAATTATATTCAACCAACTTCAACAAATCAACAAAACTCCCTTCAAAACAACAAATTCTCTTCTCAACAAAAAATAAATAAAAAAAGTAAACGCTACACTCTATCAATGTGTCTCCACTAAACTGATGTAAAGTCTCTCTCAAAACTCGTATATTTACTGTTTTAACGATTTTGACATTTACATTTACACTCCATCTAAAACAATGCATCACTGTAAGGAAATATTAACTCGTTGTAAAAAATAGATATCTACATTTAAACTGCATAATTATTCTGACAGACATTTGTCATAAACACATGAATAAACGTGTCTGCATTTCTTAGTTGTTTTATTCATGTCTTATAAAAAAGATGGCGTAATGACCGAGTATTCGGAATTGTAATCTAAGGATTGCAAGCCCAGTCAGGGAAGCAGCTGATTTACTTGGAAAGATACTTTACACTTATAGTTAAGTACTGGTTAGTTCTAAGAACGGTTTCTACAGCGTTTCAATAAGCTTCCAACACAATCGAATTAAAATATATAAGTTTCAACTATAAATGGTTCGTGAAAATGTAACTAATATCATTTAACTCACCTATTACCGTACGTAGAAGTAAAGCACCTAAAACTATAAACCATCCCCATCCGCCATCCGGTGCTTGGTTTTCATCAACAGTAATTGTCCGATCACATTCGTCTTCATTTTCTTTGTCTATCGCCTCAGTTTCACTATCATTTAATTCTCTATCAGTGTCTTGTCTACATGGATATGACTTTCCTTGTTCTGTTATTCCATCATCCTTACGTGCACCATCCTTAGCTAGAAAATCACGCCTTTCGTCGTTTGGAATTTCCTTTTCGTCTTCATCTTCATTAAAATCACATATGTTATTTGTATTGACTTCTTCAGATTGATTTTCTGAGGAAGACATGCTTACCGGTGCCATCTTTATACATTTAATCACTTATTCATGATAAAAGTCCAAAGAAATTGAATTACATCACAAAAATAGCGATATGTTCAGTATAATACACGTGATCAACATAGATGGTATTTAATTGTATAAATATAGCAAATCTTAAATAAACTTTCTTATGCTATCTTAGGCGCAGTTGAACAAATACATTATCTGAAAAGATGCGGTCAAGTAGTATAAATAAACGATTATTATCTCTGTGTCGTAGATAAATGGAGGAAAATGTCCTTAAATACATATGTCCTTAAGATATCTTGTATAAAATTTAAAGCGGTTGTATGACCTTTAATAAATCAGAATACTTTATGCATTATATTTAGATCTAGATTGATCTGCTGTGTGGAAAAAAATATACATATATTTTAACTAAATTGTTAGATATCTGCATTATACCCAATCTTTTCTATTAAACCCCAAATTTAATCATTAATTTATGAATATGGTAAAATGTATTGTTCTATTAATCTATTTGAAATTAAGTGAAATACAGAATTTGCCTCCCGCCCTGATCATTGAAAAAAAATATGATCAACGAAGATTTCATGACGTCACGTCACTTTGACGTCATGAAATTTAGCGTACTTTGGCGCAATTTAAAGGTAATTGATCTTAAAAATTCAAATAATCAAATGCTCTCTACAATATACTTCTATAAACTCATGTCGCTTATCAAGAGATAAAAATATGATTTAATTTTAGTTTTCAAAAAATATATGTATATGATGGTATATGATCCTATATTTTCATTTTTTTCACACCTTTGTAAAACGTAACCAAAGAATTTCCAGCGATTGTAACGTGTGAGCTTTTCAATATAAATAAACATTATTGGATCCAATATTATCAATTAAGCCTGGCATTTTCAGTGTCCAAAAAATCAATATCAAACCAATATTGTACTAAGAGTAACACAATTCTGCAAAAAGACAAAAAATAAAAGTGATAGGGAATATAGAGATCATATAAATTGTTGAGTTCAATACTGAATTTATTGTCCTCGTACTATAGAATTCAGTATTGTACTCAATAATGTATAATGACCACAGATTTTAGTCTTTTTAATTTATTCGAAATATTATACCTGAACTACACACATAGTAAATACCATGCCAATGAGAGTTTGTCTTATGCCTACCTACAGAAAATTGTTAACACCATCACATCCATATTTATATCCTAATTTTTGTCACCAAACGATATCCACTGCCTTTAAAAACTAACATAATAAATCTAATTTAAGAATTAGCTTCACGTCAAAGGTATGTGCATATACTTAACGAGTTTATATGCATGTTCTATAGATAAGATACAATAGTTAAAAGCCAATAACGATAATAACGATATCATGTTTATTTCACAAATACGGTATAAACTTTTGTTTACGCATTTTTAAAGAAGAAAAAACGTTCCGTAAAATTTGTAAAATGTCATCAGCTCTAAGTTTATGTTTATGTTTTTTAATAGATCGTATACATTGATTTATTAATGTTATCTGATAACATATAAACTCTATTTGATGTGCTAAAGATTGCGTCTTTTAATTGTAAATTTCGCAGTTTGTGTTATTTGCCGATAAAGAACACCATTTTTTGAGTTTTGTTAATAGCACATATTGATGGCGTCTGCAATGTTTCAATAATCCGAATTTGTAAATAATGGATATTAAGTAACTAAAGTAGTACATGCATCAACTATTTCCAATATGCATCTACAAACAACATGTTACCTTATTATCTCAAGTTTATTGTAACAGCTTTTATACATCCTAGAATAAATTTAATTAGTTCTTGTCAAATCAATACGAGATAGAAATAATGATCTATTCTTAGACCATGTCTATACAACGTGACTTTTTGAACTCTCTAAGGGACAAAAAGCAAACAGAAATATTGGTGACTTTTTGAACTCTCTAAGGGACAAAAAGCAAACAGAAATATTGGTCACGGTAGCCCTGTCGTTAATGTCCATGGCCTTCAGCATATATACTATTGACCTTGACATTATTCCAGATAGATAATTTTTATCCTGCAGAATGTGTCATATTTATCATTATCACATACCCGTGCCGCTTTTGCGACTCCGTAAAACGATATTGCACGGCCCTGCATATATTTTGAGGTGACGTCATTTGCGTTATAAAGACGTGCTGAATGTTAGCGTTACACTAGAAAGGTGCGTAATTGAAAAATGGTTCTTTTTCAGTTTAAACAGAACATTATAATCAGTAATACTGATTAATACTGAATTTATTGAACTCGTTGAATAAATTCAGTATTAAAGTTACACTCATTCAATATTCTCCATTTAAAGTCTCAATGCAATTAATTTTTGGTTTATTAAGGAAAGGATTAATATGAACCTGTATTAATATATGTCTATTTGTATGAGAAAAAGAACGATTTTTTTCTTATACATTCCCCGAGTGAGTTCCGCGTGAAAAATATAGTTATTGTTTATTTTTTATTTTACTTAACAGTATGTTTTAACAAACAATCATAAGTTTCATTATTTTTTACTAAAGAGACTGGAAATATTTTTTTTGAAATTAATGTTCCATTAAATAAATGGTCGGCTTCGAACTTCATCAGAGTCTCTTAATTGGTAAAAATGTGTTAGCTTTCCACTTGAGGCCATGACCGCCGGCTGTATTGCGATAAGATCCTCTCAAACGCCTATCACCTTGGGTTTGGTCAGCTTTACAGTACTCCCTGGGGCCATGACAGTCGGATGTATTGCGATAAGAACCCCCTAAAAGGCTTACCACTGTGGGTTTGTTGAGCTTTACTTTATTCCCCGAGGCAAAGACCGCCGGTTTTATTGCGATAAGAACTATCTAAATGGCCTATCACCGCGACTTTTGTGAGCTTTACTGCATTTCCTGAGCCCATAGCCGCCAGTTATATTGCGATAAGAACCCTCTAAAAGGCCTATCGCCGTGTGTTTGGTGACAGAGGTCGTAACCGCCGCTTGTATAGCGATATGAACCATTTAAATGCCTATCAACGTGGATCTGGTAAGCTTTTCTGTATTTTCTGAGGCTAAGACAGCCCACGGGGGTGGAACCCCATATGAATCTCAAAAATGAGCATCGGTAAAAATGATATGTGAATTTCCGCTGCACCAGATGTGAAGCATAACACCAGATGTGACTGGAAAAATAGGCCGATCGCAGGATAAGTTTTCATCTTTTTAAACATTTATATAAAATTCAATCCTTTTTTAAGAAAATCGAAATATGATTCTACCCTTGTTGGTTTTTGATCTAATTATCTTATATAAATGTTTAAAAAGATGAAAACTTATCCTGCGATCGGCCTATTTTTCCAGTCACATCTGGTGTTATGCTTCACATCTGGTGCAGCGGAAATTCACATATCATTTTTACCGATGCTCATTTTTGAGATTCATATGTGCAGCCGATTGTATTGAGATGAGAACACTCTAAAAGGCCTAGCACTTGGGTTTCTTGAGTTTTACTGTATGCCCTTAGGCCATGACCACCGGTTGTATCGCAATAAGAACACTTCAATAGGCCTATCCTATCACCATGGCTAATGTGAGATGTAAAGTATCGGTCAGGATATCCACCGGTTGTATTGCAAAAAGAACCGTTTTATAAGCTTATCACCGTGGGTTTTGTGAGCTTTACTATATTCCCTGGGGCCAAGACCGATGATTGAATTGCCAAAAGAACCCTCAAAAAGGCAAATCACCGTGGGTTTGGTGAGGCTTAGACCGCCGTTTGTATTGCGATAAGAACTCTCTAAAAGGCCTATCATCGTGGGTTCGATGAGCTTTACTGTACACCCTGAGGCCATGACTTCCGGTTAAATGACGGTAAGAACTTTCTAAAACGCCAATCACCGTTCGCTGTGTGAGCTTTACTGTTTTCACGAAGGCTATGACCGCCGGTTTCATTACAACCCTCTCAAATGTCTATCACCTTGGATTGATGTACTTTATTTAATTGTCTGATGCCATGACCGCCGGTTTTATCGAGGTAAGACTCCTCTAATAGACATATCACGGTCAGATTCGTGAGCGTTGCTGTATTTCCGGAGGTCAAGACCGTCGAGTGTACTGCAATATGAACTGACTGAAAGGCCGTTTGATGAGTTTAACTGTATTGCCTGAGGTCATGACCGCCGGTTTTAATGCGGTAAGAATCCCCTTAAGGGCCTATAACCGTCGGTTCTAGGAGCTTTACTATATTCCCTTAGGTCATGACCGCCAGTGGTATTGCATAACAACTCTCTCATAGGTATATCACCGTGGGTTTGTTGAGCTTTACTGTTTTCCCTGAGGTCATGACCGCCCCTTCTATTGCGATAAGAAGCCTCTAAAAGGCCTTTCACCGTGGCTTTGTGAGGTTTACTGTATTCCCTGAGGCTATTTCCAGTTTTATTGCGATAAGAACTGTCTCAAATGCCTATCACCGTTGGGTTGATGTGCTTAAATTACCTGTCTTCGGCCATGACTACTGGCTTTATCATGATAAGAATCCTCTAATAGACCTATCACCGTCGGTTTTGTGAACTTTACAGTATTTCCTTAGGTCATGAACACCGGTTGTATTGCGATAAAAACCCTCTCATAGGTCTATCACCGTTGAGCTTAAATGTATTCCCTTAAGTCATGACCGCTGGTTGTATTAAGGATACAATGAGGACAACGATGACATAGCGGTTCAAGTGTTCACCTCTCATCATCACAGACATCCAGGGTTCGAGCCAAACTTGGCTCACAATGTTTCTTAATCCAGTACGAGTTATTTAAAAAAGTGTACTCAGAAGGGATAAATATTCGTAGCAAAATAATCACAAACAAGCTAAATCTAAAGTTAACATGTACAAACATAATTCATTAATATGTAAGCAATATTATTAATAACAATTTGTGCTTTACAGAAACAAAGGGCAACAACCACTGTGCGAGATATTGCAGCAGCAATATCTGCATTACCTCCCTTACATTGAAATACGAACATATAAAATGTGTCTTATATTTACAACACTTACTTAAATCAATATGAAAAATAGTGATATTCGTTCAAACATTCAACATCAGAAAATAAATTATATATTTCATTATTTAATTTTACCCTTGAAATATAGTGCTATATCACTCAAATATATGCCATATACAAATGTACTTGAATTTAATCTATTCGTATCCGTTAAGTATTTCTCATTTTGGCACAACATTTAATGTTATGTGTAAAAAACGACATCATTACAAAATGCAAGAAATTGAATTAATCGCTTGATGTTTAACATATAATGTGTATTCAGTTAGTGTTATTTACCATTTTCATTGATGTTGAACGAGAACATGATGTATTTAATGTAATAATGTAAGACTTCGTTGGCGAGTGGTATGGTTTGTTTAATCATTCATGCGAGGAAATTACCCAGCTAACCAGCGGAAGGTCATACACAAAGATGGAAAATTAAAATGTGTCTGTGGCAATTAATAACGACAAAATACACGTACCAGTCAAAATGAATTCTGCAGATTAACATTTTTGCAGACTGTCTAAAGCAAATCTCATACCAATTGTCAAAAGGCAACACATAATTTGCTTACACAATAAGTGTCTTACACTTGTCTGGAAAACTGCTAGATTGAATTGCTAAAGTGCCCTCTTACTTGCGCAATTTTCCACTATTGATATTTCTCGACACAGACGCCAGACTAGATGCAAATTTCGAAAATGTTTACCAACAAGTATTACCCAAAAGTACTATTTATTCTTCTCATTATGTCCCTGTTGCAAAAAGGCAAAATCGAGTTACGCCAGCATTGAAACCATCACCATTTACGTTATGATACTCAAGACTTATTAAAAGCCGTGGACAGTATAGACACGTTTTAACTACAAGAAACATATAAGCCGCGTCACGACAAAACTGCGCGGATGCGCAGGCGGGTCTGGATCCATGCTGGTCGCAAACCCATTATGTTTGTTTTGTCATGACGCGGCTCATATGTGATATAAAAAGGAGCCGAATACAGAGGGAGTTTTATTTCAAAACTAATCTTTTAAAAAGTATTTTGTCATAGATACGCGTTCCAACCTTGCTTGATTGATAGTGTAATAGTTTTACACCTTATGTTATTTATTTATTTCCTTTTTGCTCGTATTAAGTCGCCATGTTATTACGTCGCTCTCTAATGCTTATTATATACTATTATATTATATACTTAGCGAAGAGAAATCAATGGTTCACATTTTTCACTGAATAACGAACTTAAAAGAACTTTATAAAAGCAACTAGTCCGTTTTGTCTGGTAAAATATTATGTTTTCTACAGCAATATGAGACTTATAGTTTAAATCTGTTTAATATTCTATCTTTTGATATAAAATACATAAGATACAATGATATATAGAACAAATTGTTAGCCCTATGACTTCCATGCACTATATTTGGAAGAAAAGTGTAAAGCGGAATTCCAACATTTTTTTCTTAAAAAACAACATGCAAGTATCGTCTTTTGTTCATTGACTATACATGAATTTTAAACTTTAATCATTCACAATGTCAAAACTACCTTCCAAATCTTATTTGCTCTTAACAAACGCTTCAACACTTTCATCAAAGTTTTTCATAAATGCAGCTTGCTTAAGACCGACAGAACCATTGCAGATACTAGTGTAACATCTGTCCCTATAATTTGCAAGACCTAAACCAGTTTCTCTATCTTTTAAAAAATCCTCCAACATCTCCCCTCTTTTGGAAATATCGTTGTGATATCCCGACAACGCTGCAAGATGACTTATTAATGCCGTCTGAAACCGTACGACGTCAAGTTCTGATCTGCAAGCGTTGATTCGTTTTAGCCAGATTTGTGAATCTGCCTCCATTTCTTTGAGTTTCTTTGGTTCATCTGGCAACTGCCCCATGATATATCTAAAATGATTTGAATGATAGATATTTACTCTAAAGAGTAAACCATGATAAATAAAGATAGAAAGGTCGAAATTCAGATGTAATAGGATTATAAACAATACTAACGAAATGCAAATATTGTTTAAACCTGTTAAAGAATAGAACTTCTACCGTCTAGTTTTAACGTGTTTGCCATTTATTATGGTTGAGTTTTAAATCAAACAAACACTATGTCTGCAAAAATGTCTGTTTTCATGGTTGAGAAAGAAATATGGTGCTGTTCCGTGCATTATTTCAGGCACGAGCAGGCACCATAATAGAACCACCGACTTTCCGTCAGTTAACTGGATAGATTCATAACTCAATCCAAAGCCCATGATGGGATTTGAACTCACAGTTATTAGGGGTCAGTAGACGCAAGTTAGTGAATTAACCACTCGGCCACAGAGGCCCCTCTTTTGTAATTGATTGCCATATAAATATAAATAAAATACATAAAACAAACAAACACAGAATATTATGTATGTATTCAATGTATTGAATTTTGGTAAATAATATTTGTCTTACTTGCAAGTCCATTTGGCCAGGACCTCAAAATATATGAACGTATAAATCTGGCTGAGAGCTCCTATATAAAACAAGCGGTTGTTTCCTTCTTTGTAAAACAAAGTACCCTTGTACAGCCCCTCTGGATAGAAATTTGTTTTTTCATCGATCCTGAATCTGTCTTCTAAGAAGGGGAAGTAATTTCTGTACCCTGTTGATAAAATAACGCAATCAATTTCAGCAGACGAACCGTCCTTGAAGTAAGCCTTGGTGGAATCAAACCGTTCTACATTTGGTCGTTCTTCAACATTTTCAGGCATTATACAGGTGGCGCTTTTTGGTCTCGTCCTGTAGGCGAGAATCACGTGTTTAGAGCCAAATTTTAGGCATTGCAGAACTAAATCCTCCCCGGTATATCCCGCCCCAATGATCAGTACCCTTTTGCCGGTAAAAATTCTACCATCGCGGAAGTCGTGAGAATGAATTATCGGACCCGTAAAATCATTCATTCCAGGGAATTCTGGTAGATTTGGAAAGCTGAAAATGCCCGTTGCAACGATGACATGCGTGAATGTTTCTTCCCGTGTCTTTCCTGTATTGTAGTCATTTATTGTGACAATAAACTCTTCTTTTTCATCTATGTATTTCACAAAGCGGACGGCTGTGTTGAATTGTATATAGTCTTTCAGATTGCGTCCACGTGGAACTGAATTTGTGAAACGTCCTGAAAACAATAGAATGGTGACAAAATTTGATTCTTTCGATTAAATAAATAAAATACATTAAAGGAACTCCACTGAGCTTTATTAACATGGCGAGACTTGACATAATTGTTCGAGAATAATGTTCAACTTGATGTAGTTTGAACCAATAACTTTCAGATGATTCACACACTCTTCTTTTTCAGAATAATTATTCCAATCTAATTGTGAAAAGGAATAATGTTTTCAGGCTTTTGGACATCAGTGAAGTTTCTTTAAATGATATAACTATAATATAAAAATACCGGTTTGTGAGATGTTAGCAGTTAACAGTGAGCTAAGCAAAAAGGCATTACGATTTATATAGGTAAATCAATGATCTGCTGCTATGCTCAGCTGGGTAAGCAATCTAGCAGAGCATTCCAAAATAAAGTGTAGAAAATTAATGCTTTGCTGGTATGCTAAGCTGGCTAAGCAATCTAGCAGGCCATTTCTAAATATAGTGTAAAAATGCTCTGCTGTTATGCCCAGCTGGCTTAGCAATCAAGCGGGGGCATTCCAAAATATAGTGTAAAAATGCTCTGCTGTAATGCTAAGCTGGCTAAGCAATCTAGCGGGGCATTCCAAAATTAAGTGTAAAAATGCTCTGCTGTTATGCTCAGCTGGCTAAGCAATCTAGCGGGACATTCTAAAATATAGTGCAAAAATGCTCTGCTGTGATGCTAAGCTGGCTAAGCAATCTGGCAGGGCATTCCAAAATATATCATTATTTCTATTGGCACCAAAAATTAAAGTCTGCGAGTGCCTCAGAAATGCCTATAAGTCGAAAATGTCAATAAAACGTTGGCAACAATAAATCCTGGAACTCAGAATCAGTCTGCCAGCTGAGCATTCCAGCAGAGCTTATTAATATTCAGAATGCATCGCAAGCTTGCTTATCCAACACAGCATTTTCACTCCATTTTTCGGAATGTTCTGCTAGGTTGCCTAGCCAGCTTAGCATTCCAGCAGAGCATTTTTTCACTATATTTAGGAATGCCCTATTAGATTGCCTAGCCAGCTAAGCATTCCACCAGAGCACTTTTACACTATATATAGGAATGCCCTGCTAGATTGCCTTGCCAGCTTAGCATTCCAGCAGAGCATGTTTTAACTATATTTAGTAATGCCCTGCTAGATGCCTTGCCAGCTTAGTATTCCACCAGAACATTTTTTACACTATATTTAGTAATGTTCTTCTAGATTGCCTTGCCAGCTTAGCATTCCAGCAGAGCATTTTTTCACTATATTTAGTAATGCCTTGCTGGATTGCCTTGCTAGCTTAGCATTCCAGCAGAGAATTTTTCACTATATTTAGTAATGCCCTGCTAGATTTCCTTGCCAGCTTAGCATTCCACCAGAGCATTTTTACACTTTATTTAGTAATGCCCTGCTAGAATGCCTTGATAGCTTAACATTCCAGCAGAGCATTTTTTCACTATTTTTAGGAACGCCCTGCTACATTGCCTAGCCATCTAAGCATTCCACCAGAGCATTTTTACACTATATTTAGTAATGCCCTGCTAGATTGCCTAGCCAGCTGAGCATTCCAGCATGGCATTTTTACACTATATTTAGTAATGCCCTGCTAGATTGCCTAGCCAGCTTAGCATTCCACCAGAGCATTTTTACACTTTATTTAGTAATACCCTGCTAGATTGCCTTGCGAGCTTAGAATTCCAGCAAAGCATTTTAACACTATATTTAGTAATGCCCTGCTAGATTGCCTTGCCGGCTTAGCATTCCACCAGAGCATTTTTACACTTTATTTAGTAATGCCCTGCTAGATTGCTTTGCCAGCTTAGCATTCCAGCAGGGCATTATTTTGAGGAATGCCCTGCTAGATTGCCTAGCCAGCTAAGCATTCCACCAGAGCATTTTTAAACTATATTTAGTAATGCCCTGCTAAATTGCCTAGCCAGCTGAGCATTCCAGCATGCCAATTTTACCCTATATTTAGTAATGCCCTGCTAGATTGCCTAGCCAGCTAAGCATACCAACAGAGCATTTTTACACTATATTTAGTAATGCACTGCTAGATTACCTAGCCAGCTGAGCATTCCAGAATAGCATTTTTTCACTATATTAAGGAATGCTCTGCTATATTGTTAGCCAGCTGAGCATTCCTGCAGAGCATTTAACACTTTATTTAAGAATGACCTGCTAGATTGCTTAGCCAGCTTAGTATTCCAGCAAAGCATTTTTACTCTATATATTTAGGAATGCCCTGCTAGATTGCCATGCCAGCTAATCATTCCAGCAGAGCATTTTTACCGTATATTAAGTAACACCCTGCTAGATTGCCTTGCCAGCTTAGCATTCCAGCAGAGCATTTTTTCACTATATTAAGGAATGCCCTGCTATATTGCCTAGCCAGCTTACCCTTCCAGCAGAGCATTTTTACACTAAATTTAGTAATGCCCTGCTAGATTGCCTTGCCATCTTAGCATTCCAGCAGAGGATTTTTATCCTATATTTAGTAAAGCCCTGCTAGATTGCCTAGCCAGCTTAGCATTCCAGCAGAGCATTTTTTCACTATATTTAGGAATGCCCTGCTAGATTGTCCAGCAGGTTAGCTTTCCACCAGAGCATTTTTCACTATAACTAGGAATGCTCTGCTAGATTGCCTAGCCAGCTTAGCATTCCAGAATAGCATTTGTACACTATATTTAGTAATGTCCTGCTAGATTGACTAGCCAGCTTAGCATTCCAGCAGAGCAATTTTTACACTATATTTAGTAATGCCCTGCTAGATTGCCTAGCCAGCTTAGCATTCCAGTAGAGCATTTTTTCATTACATTTAGTAATGACCTGCTAGATTGCCTAGCCAGCTTAGCATTCCAGCAGAGCATTTTAACACTATATTTAGTAATGCCTTGCTAGATTGCCTAGCCAGCTTAGCATTCCAGCAGAGCATTTTTTCAATTAAGCTAGGAATGCTCTGCTAGATTGCCAAGACAGCTGCGTATTGCACCAGAGCATTTTTACACTATATTTAGGAATGCCCTTCCAGATGCCCAAAAACAGCTGAGCATTACAGCAGATCATTGACTTTCCTATATAAATTAAAATGCCTTTTTGCTTAGCTCTCTGTTCACTGCTTACATCTCACATACAAAATACCGTTCAAAATTTACATAAAAAGCTTTGTAACAGGAAACACTGTCTGGATCCTTAAAATGAGTTTAAATATAAAAATTAGATTTGCGGATAAATGGATCAAGTTAAAAAATATTGTCTTTGTTTATGTGTTTGTAAAAAATGGGTTAAAACAGTTATGGTATTGGTGACACATATATAACTTGGTATGACTTGATACATGACGTCATATGATCACATGACGATAAAATTTTCTGGTTAATGAATTTATAAACATTATGTAAATTATATGATATCAGTATAACATTTTTAATAATACTGCAAGTTTGTAACATTGATTTTCATTGGACAATTGTGACGTTTATATAACCTATATACATGACTGCAGTCAATTTATAAAGTGATTCCATTTTTTTCTCTAATAAAGGAGTTTGCAGTATGATAAATTCTTTATAAAGATATATGCCAGGTAATATGGCCATATATAAACGATTATATACAATGTTACCTTCGCCTTATGACTCAGATTATATATACCAACCACCGTTTATATTATTAATAAAAGGTTTTTAATTAAATATTCCTGACAGGTTATATGACCATATATAAACAGTTGTTTGTAAATATAACCAGATCTGCTGGGCCCATGGTTATTTTGCAAACAACGGTTTATATACGGCCATATAACCTGTCAGGAATATCTATAACGAATTTATAATATTGTAAACTTCTTTTTTCTAGAGAAAAAAGATTTATTCATAAATAGACAGCAGCCGCGTATATGATTAGTTATAAAGATTGTTGACAGGTTATATGGCCCTATATAAAGGGCTATTTGAAAATATAACCCGAGCCGCTAGGCGAGGGTTATATCACAAACAGCCTTTTATTTACGGCCATATAATATGACAACAATCTTTATAACTTATTTTTAATACAGCAAGCATCATTTTTTAGAGAAAAAAGTAAGATTTCTTCATGAATCGACAGCAGCAGTGTATATAAAACTATATATAAACGTCACGATTATCCAACAAATATTAGAATTGAATAAAATGAATATCATTTAATTTGTTTTAAATACCTTCAAGATAATCTCTAAAGACGAGTAAGGAGGGAAAAGATGGCGTAGGCTTTTTATAATGTACATCGAAAGGATAGTCGTGAAACTCGTGCATTTCTTTTGGACCGTTCGCCCACATGTATTTGTACATACTTGTATGAACAGGTTCTCCGTTTTCGTCTAACCCTGAAAGATAACATATACAAAATGAAAACAAAATGATATGCAAGATTTTGTTTTGTTTTCCCTTTAAAGATAATAAGGTTGTTACCACATTCAAGTGATGAATGTTATCATGTTTCTAAAAAAAAATTCAAACATCGAAGAATATGTAAAATATGTACTGCAAATATGTGTCCACATTATATATAATCATCAAAATATGTGCATTCATTTCTTATTGAAAAATATGACTTAGACTTTATTGAAGTACATTTTACCCACCTTTATTAACATGAAATGTAAATTTGGTAATATATTTACAAATACTTACAATATTGATAAATCTTCATTTGAGCATTAAATTTATGATATTAAAACATAAAAAATGAGTTACAGGATCTGTAACTGTGATTCTTTTTGACATTCTTTGTGATAATTCTTTCGTGAACAAATTATTTGATTACAGCAGCCTAAGAAATGTGGATAGCAAAACGGAAAAAAATGTTACAGTATATCAAAAGCCATCTTCTGTTATTATCAGTCACTTATAATTATCATAGGTGAACGTATGTACATGAACTTTGAATGTTCTTGTCTATATAAATATATATATGTGTAGCTTTCTTCAAAAAGATTGTTAAAGTTAAGAAAAATCCCATATCCTTAACATAATTTTTTGTGTGTTTCATTTGGACACGCTTTCGTAAAATAAGCTGATAAAACTTCATATCTTTAAAAGAAAAAAATGACTCAGATTTAAAAATATACCTTCTTATTTACTCAATCTTAACTCATACAGGTCGCGAGAGGGGGAAACAAATATATATATTAAAGGTTGGCTTTAAAGCAGCACGCCTCCAGATTCATGCTAATTTTCATAATAATTTTGAATGTGTAATAATGTGAATTAATCAAAAGGAAGCAATTAACACATTATCAATGACATTTACAAAACACGTAATATACAAACGCAGTAACGCAGTAGAAATAGAGTGGAAAGTACGGAAAATCAGTCATAAATCGCACATAATTTGTAAAATACTACTTGAATCTTGAAACCTTTTACTTTTCCTGATAACTTAGTAAATTATTCCTAAGTTTGATTTTATTGAAATATTTCGACTCATCTGGCAAATATATAACTTTTCAGTTTAAGTAATTATAAATAACAAAAATTATTAATACCAAAATGCTACCTGTTTTCCACGACACGTTCCATAATCCCAACCATGTTTTTTGTTTCTCATAACAAACCACTTCCGGCATATCCTCCATGTCGGCAAAGTGATACAGGGTAGAAAGTCCAGAAGGACCAGCGCCTATCAAACAGATCCTTACACGCGACATTTCTATTAAGATTAACTCAAAACAATCCACCAACAATGTAATTTGATTTTTATTTTTACTAATAATTTACTTTATAAAATCGCAACCTAGTTTGAATGTACATACAATAATTTATGCCCCGGTAGTTTACATGGTTTATGCTGATGAAGGCATATATTGCTACGGAGTCAGTAACCTGGTACTATTGATGTAGTTCATAACCTTGACACATTTTCGCATAATCATGAATCAACGCTTGCTGGTATCAAATTTGCAGTTTAAAATCTACTTGGCAAAAACTCGTGTGTATGTATTTGATGTTTATTTTCTCATAGTTCCACTCTATTTTGTTATTTATAAACACTAGGTGTATCCAATATTCATTATGAATATTTATTATCCGTTCATTTTACATTTTCAACTTCTAAGTAATCATTTTGTTTCACATCAATAACTTCAACACATCACTTGACAAATAAAATCTAGTTAGATTTCATTAAAGTTGTCGATTTTCTGTTTAAAGTTTTGAAAAGTGTTTATGAATTACTTTTAGAAACTAAACGCATAATCACCAATTTAACCCTTTAGTCTTTTGAATCAAAGTAGAGATTCATCATGCTCAAATTTGATATATGAAAAAAAATACAACTGTAAATTACTAAGTACTATACAGTCTTTTTTGAAATGTAAAAAAAACATCTTTTACACACGGAGAAAATATGTTGCGTTTTAAACTCACAATCCAATGGCACAATTTCAGTAACAATTCAGTATTTTATCCAGTTGAAAGACAAACAATATCTACCAGTACAGATACACATTGGAATGCTCAATTATCAAATTTTGATACTGAAATCCCTTTAATTTTAAATGGACTCTTCCAAATTCAAAACTCAGAAATTGCACTAAAAACAGTATGGAGTCTAGCTCTATACTTCTGGCAAAGGTTTATCACTTTCAGTTCCAGTTAGTCAAGCGCTCCTCATGTACATACTTAATCAAACCGAGTCTGCAATTTTCATGTAATTTTGTTGTAATCAATGCTTCCGAGGAATCACATTTTGTCCAGATTTATGATTGGCTTATTGAGATATTCTTGTTATAAGCAAGGGCAGAAACTTATCACTCTAGAAGTAACCCAAACGATAAAAAAGGAAAGCGGCCCTTTAATCAATCATTATGCCTCCATATGAGCCAAAATATTTCAAGAAATGTATATCTATATCCCCGTCAACATGTAGCATGGAATTTAAAAGTTATAAAAGCAAGACAACAATTTCAATTTCATCACTCTCATTTGTTCCAATTGTAACACTTTTTTTAATTTTCATTAAGTGGTATGAAAATAAATATTGCATAAGTGGCGGTAGCCTACGAGTGAAATATGATATTTTTTCATACCACAAGATGAAAATTAATCCTGTATTTTATAGAAAGAAACTTGAATTTCCTGTTTTCATATAATTTTTTTCTTTTTGACAGGATAATTTTAAAGATGTTCCCTTAAATGTTTGTGTACTGGCTGAATTTAGATGAAAGTAGTCAAGCAAGACACCAGTGAACATACGGAAAATTTGTTTCACTGCAATGAGAAAAGAATTTTACGGTGAAAATACGGAAAAAGAAAATTCGCTTTTTATTTCATCAATATTTCTCAATATTTTATTTATAAATATATAATAAAAACAAATATTCTGATAATATCCCACGTGCAATAAAATAAAATAGACAGAAAAAATGACCAGGAAAAAAATATATAAAAAAAATCATCTAGAAATGATATATATAGAGTTTGTCCAGACAGATATTATCTTAATGCAGTAAGACACGTAGGTCATCTGTTTGGTAAGTTTTAGACAATATGATCCGGTATTGTGTCTAGTCGATTCTAATAATTCATACTGTTGAATTATTTTCTGACAGAAATGCGAGGAAAATTGGCACAAGAATTGTCTCAAATGTAATAAGATCCTACATCTTGAAAGCATATAACTTGATATTTTCTCAAAAAATATTTAAAAAGGTTCAATTTTAATAATCTTGTATTTCGCAAGCCAGATGTTTCTAAATTCAAAATTTTACCATTTCATAATGTTGAATTCTGCTTAAACCGGTGCTAGGGGACGTGGACGGTAGATTGCACTTGACAGTACCGTCCATGTACAGGCTCAATCAAACCGAGCCTGCAACGTTTTCAATGTTGCCGTTTTAGGCAATCTTTAAGGATTTTTATTTTCTCTTACATAATCTTGTAAAAATCGTAAAATATGTGTGAAAAATCGAACATATACAAGTATTGTTTTTCAGTTCATCTCTATCGAGCATAATTTTTAAATAGCAAGAATCGAATCATTTATACCAAATCTGAAATTGTTATCTTCATATTTATTTGTTACGGTATCACTGCTCTCGAGGGAAATTCCCAAATATCTGAAATAGTTACCAAATATTTGAAATAATATTTTTTAATAGTAGTTTAGTTAATAAAAATGCACTCTGCAAACGTTGTGTTTGCATATGTATTATTTTGGACAATAAAAAGCTTATGGCGACCGTAAGTTTATGACAAAATTAATGTTGTTTTTTATATACTTTAATATCTTTTTCAATAGAAATGTTACATATCTAGGACTACACAAAAACTATAGGGTAACAAAGCGTTTTATTTATTTTGGACCTTTAAAAGCTTATGGCGTCCGTAAGTTTATGATAAAGGATTTGAGATATTACTGCTATATCATTTTTTAAAAGAAGTTATACATTTCTCAGGCTACACAAAAACTAAGTTGGTCTAAATAATTGCAACATTGCTGTATGTTTGCCAGATGTATTAAAATTTTATATTTGAATGTGTTTCTTGCCAAATGAAAACTAAATCTCATGGGACAGAAGGCAGTTTATATGATAAGTATACATTTTTTCGCTGATCAGACTTTTATGTAACCTCCTCACTCAAAAAACCCGGTTTATTTAACTTTTCTGGGAACATATACCAGATGTTGGCAGTAAGGCTATTGATATATTGGTTTCTTACATTCAAGAAACATTACTGTATAGATGGAAGTTGCATTTGTAAATTCACTTTCTTTTCACTTTGTTCTTGATCAACATTGAATAAGGACCTTTAGTAATTAAAATATTGAGTAATACGTCATTTTACATTACGATATCTTCTTGCAGTTCCTTGCAAAAGTGAAGGCAACTAGTACTGATAAACTGCTTGACAGCCTAACCAGAAATGATGCGCAGGCTTAACTGCTGTGATCCGGATTGAAAACTACCACCACCACCGAATAAAGAAGCCCACTTTTTATTTCGACATAATGTCGCGGCATATTCTCCTTTTGTTATGATTGATGTATAAAAAACGCTGTAGATAAACTTACAATGCATATTTTAGACGACCCCAGATAGAGGCATGCTTCTCTTAATAATATTATAATCTGATAGTCTGGAAAGTGTTTAGATATAATACATATCATAATGCCAGCATCAGACAAAACACTTCCAATGTCTGATTGCGTAGGTTCAGTTTCACTGCATCGAATATAATTGTTATGTATCAAATTATCTGCAGCCGGTTATACGAAAACAGCTCTTTCAACAGCCATGATAGTTTGGAAGTTTGCCATAACTTGAACATAAGTTAATTCATAAGAATTCATCATCTAACCGAATTTCTGACGGTTGTATTTATATTATTTGCAGAATGTAATATTTAAAACCATAAATTTTATGTTTTATTTTATATACACTGTATTTGTAAAGACAAAACCTTTTTTATCGAATAACTGATGCATATCCGGTAAAAACACATAAAAAACAACAGTAAAAAAACAAGAGCAACTAACAAACAAACTTATAATGAATGCAAAATACATATTGTTTGCTACTTCTATATTACTTCGAATTTTCTTAACAATGTTGTCTTCAATTTTTCGATTTATCAAATTACGTCCTATTCCATCAAAGTCGGTAAAATATTGATAAGCCCCCAATTCCAGAGCTATATACGACAATTCAATATGCCAAACAAAAAAGTTACCATTCCCGGTTTTTATACATTTATTTCTATTTTTTTTTGTCTCGAGAGTTAAAATCATTTTGTTCCTGTCCTTATGTTGGGAAACAATTTTGATGCCTTAGTTTCGCAAAGTTTAAACTGTATGAATGCATGTCCCACCTTTAAAATAAATATGCACCATTCAATTTAAATTAAAAAATCAAAATTCAGGAGTCTTTGTTAACGTAGATATATTTGAGACCTTATTGAATCCAATGAGTAATTACGCCCCCTGGCTAGTGGACAGTTAGTGCAGTTTAATGTCTCCAACACGCTGACACATGATAAGCTTGCATATGCTTTAAACTAGCTCCATCCATTTTTCATCTAGCCGTGCCTTTTAAAAATTTATTTCTGTAATTTGTATTCACACTTCAATGCCAGTTACATTTTTATTTCAAAAGATATGTAAAATGCGCGCAGTAGAAGTTTTTTTGTGTCTCCATACATGAATAAGCAGGAGCATTATTTTAAACTTTTAGTGTAAAAAGCCAGATGAAATATGCTTAAAAAAGAACCCGTACAATCTGCCGTGATTGACCTGATTAAGTCATTACTTTTGTCTACTATTGGTTTCTGCAACACATCATTAGACTATAGGTAAACGAAATGTTTTAGTAAGTTTTTACACGTTCATTGATGATTTATTGTGGAATCTCATTATGATAACATTATAAAAGGCTGCAAACATTTAATTTTACTGCTGTTTTTTTTTGCAATATCAATTTTAGAAGAAGAAGAAACATTCTTTATTTTAAAATCTACATATGAACAACAACAGTCTGGTTTAAGCTAATAAGCCCTTGACCTGACACAAGATATAACTACAACATCCTGAGCAATACAATATATTATATTAATATATAAGATATATAATATAGTTACAACAAAATTATTTAAGATTCCTTTAGAATGTCATTATGATATTATGTTGGTCCCATGAAGTTTACGACACACCTGATGAGAAATATTTTTTCTACCTGTGATTACATATATATCATGGTCAACAACTAGACAGTGTCATCGGGGCTAAATGTTTGAAAAACAACCAAAGTATTGACAAATGGCGTGTAGGTGGTCATTTACCCTGTAGTCTGAAATACCTGAAATATAAACTAAAGTAGTAACATAGAACTTGTTGGCGAAAACACAAAATACCTTGCATACTTTGAAAACATGTCTGAATTTTCGTGATGCAACAAATGTCAAGGCAAACCACTCCACCCCCTTCAAAAACAAAAATATTACAAAACGAAGAATTAAAACAAAACAAGTACACGCATACTCCCCCCACACACACACAAATAGGCACGCACGTACATACAAACGCGCGCGCGTACACGCACGCACAAATTCTTCAACATAAAATGTATACCTAGTTGTTACTTTTGAATTATTATTTGAATTATATATAATATAATTTATGTCAAACCATCTGTAAGTAATACTTAAAAATAAATAAATAAATAAGTAAGTAAATAAAACCATCTGTTGCCATAAAAAAGATAATTACTAAATTATTTTACAGAAAAAAGCAAAAACATTTAAATGTTATATTATGCGTAATCTCATTAATGTATTTTATCTTTTCTTCTCTTTTTGAACTTGAAGCCTTAATTAATGACCATATCAACGGAGGTGAGTAACCTTCCTTCGGGCATTATTACGACAGATGCATTCTCATGATATCAAACAAAGTTGCTGACACACTAAAATGTTCAAAATACCGCAAGAAAACTAGTACATGTATTACTATCTGTGTAGGTGCATTTAATATTTAGTTTTTGTCCAGATTCAATACAAAAGTTATTTCCCAAATTACAGACACCGCTGACGTACTAACGAAACATATATAAGTAGATTTGTTTTATGGAAGAAAATG